AGTTTGTATCATCAGCATACTGATGATACTGCACCCCATCCAGTTGAAGCCTGAAATTGGACAATAAATATTTTTTCTGTGTTATAAAATAAAAAATAATAGAAAGGATTTCTAAAATAAGAACAATCTGGCATGAGGACCTGGAAATTTCTAAAAAGGGTCTTAATCCAATTGTTTTCAGTACTTAATAGTCAGTATGGCCATTTTTAGAAGTTAGAATGGATTTGTCAAGAACAAGTCTTGTCACAGTAACCAAATCTCACTTTTTGATCAAATAAATTTCTTAGATTACAGGATCAAATAGTTTCTTAGTAGATTGTGGAATGCTCTAGATGAAATATATCTTGGTTACAGCAACAGAAAGAACTCCAGCAAATTAGATAAATATGGGCTAGAAGGCATAATAATTAGATGTATATATAAAAATAACAAAAAGCATACTTAAAGAGCATTTGTCAATGCTCATTCATCTAATTGAAGAAAAGTATCAAGTGAGATGCTAGTCTAGGACTATGTTCTTCAGCATCCTTATTAATCACATGGATAATGAGGTGAATTGAATTTATATCACATTTGCAAATGCTAAAATTTGGATGAAATAGCAAATACGTAAAAAACAAAAATAAAATGCAAAATAAGCTTGGTAAGTTAGAGAAGTGGGCTAAACTAAACTTAACATTAGCTGAGATTTCCTGATCTTTGTGCAAATTCTTACCATTGTTACATTTTTTTCTTATTATTGGGATACAATGATGGAAAATTGGAATATAAAGCCAGAGTTACATGTACAATATGTACAGTGGGGCAAAAAAGTATTTAGTCAGCCACCAATTGTGCAAGTTCTCCCACTTAAAAAGATGAGAGAGGCCTGTAATTGTCATCATAGGTAGACCTCAACTATGAGAGACAAAATGAGAAAACAAATCCAGACAATCACATTCTCTGATTTGGAAAGAATTTATTTGCAAATTATGGTGGAAAATAAGTATTTGGTCACCTACAAATAAGCAAGATTTCTGGCTCTCACAGACCTGTAACTTCTTCTTTAAGAGGCTCCTCTGTCCTCCACTCATTACCTGTATTAATGGCACCTGTTTGAACTTGTTATCAGTATAAAAGACACCTGTCCACAACCTCAAACAGTCACACTCCAAACTCCACTATGGTGAAGACCAAAGAGCTGTTGAAGGACACCAGAAACAAAATTGTAGACCTGCACCAGGCTGGGAAGATTGAATCTGCAATAGGCAAGCAGCTTGGTGTGAAGAAATCAACTGTGGGAGCAATAATTAGAAAATGGAAGACATGTAAGACCACTGATAATCTCCCTCAATCTGCGGCTCCACGCAAGATCTCACCCCGTGGGGTCAACATGATCACAAGAACGGTGAGCAAAAATCCCAGAACCACACAGAGGGACCTAATGAATGACCTGCAGAGAGCTGGGACCAACGTAACAAAGGCAACCATCAGTAACACACTACGCCGCCAGGAACTCAGATCCTGCAGTGCCAGACATGTCCCCCTGCTTAAGCCAGTACATGTCCGGGCCCGTCTGAAGTTTGCTAGAGAGCATTTGGATGATCCAGAAGAGGATTGGGAGAAGGTCCTATGGTCAGATGAAACCAAAGTAGAACTGTTTGGTAGAAACACAACTCGTGTTTGCAGGAGAGAGAATGCTAAGTTGCATCCAAAGAACACCATACCTACTGTGAAGCATGGGGATGGCAACATCATGCTTTGGGGCTGTTTCTCTGCAAAGGGACCAGGACGACTGATCCATGTACAGGAAAGAATGAATGGGGCCATGTATCGTGAGATTTTGAGTGCAAACCTCCTTCCATCAGCAAGGGCATTGAAGATGAAACGTGGCTGGGTCTTTCAGCATGACAATGATCCCAAACACACTGCCCGGGCAACGAAGGAGTGGCTTCGTAAGAAGCATTTCAAGGTCCTGGAGTGGCCTAGCCAGTCTCCAGATCTCAACCCCATAGAAAACCTTTGGAGGGAGTTGAAAATCCGTGTTGCCCAGCGACAGCCGCAAAACATCACTGCTCTAGAGGAGATCTACATGGAGGAATGGGCCAACATACCAGCAACAGTGTGTGCCAACCTTGTGAAGACTTACAGAAAATGTTTGACCTCTGTCATTGCCAACAAAGGATATATAACAAGTATTGAGATGAACTTTTGATATTGACCAAATACTTATTTTCCACCATAATTTGCAAATAAATTCTTTCCAAATCAGAGAATGTGATTGTCTGGATTTGTTTTCTCATTTTGTCTCTCATAGTTGAGGTCTACCTATGATGACAATTACAGGCCTCTCTCATCTTTTTAAGTGGGAGAACTTGCACAATTGGTGGCTGACTAAATACTTTTTTGTCCCACTGTAACTGTATTAAAACCTCATTATTTTCTGTTTAATTCAATGACAACTTTAAATTCTCTCATTATTTAGACATGCATTTCTTAAACTGACCCAGTGGTTAATACTACACATTTGATTAAGTGAATTCTTCTTTTAAACTTACCTAATTAGGTGAAACCGAATCCACAATATCTGTTGTCACTAGGCTCTGTCTTGCTTCACTAGCCTGGCTTATCTTCACACGTCATTATCTTTTGTATTCATTTACTAGGCATCCAGAAGATGCCCATTTAAGTAGATTCTCACTGCAGCCTATGCACAGGGACTATTTTAGATTCTAGTTTTCACTGTATATTGTTTTCTTCTGTTTTTTTAAAAAAACTTTTTTTCTCTGTGGTTTACATATGAGGAACCCTTTAAGAATGATTCTTCAAAGCCTCTTAGACTTATCAAAAGACAAAAATTTGCAACACAACAGGAGCAGCATAAATCAGAGAAACAGAAAAGTAAACAAAATAATGAAAAAAAAGGTGAGAATGAAAACATTTTTTTTCATTATCGTGATGCTCTCACAACAATTCATAGTTAGTGGGGCGGTTTGCAATTATGTACTACAGACAGTAATGTTTTCATGTTTAGAAATGTACTGTTTGTACATGAATTTGTTTTCACTTGCATGTTTACATTTTGTGCTTGAGGTTTTTTTAAGTAATATTTTCAGAATATTGTTACAATCACATTGTCTTGTGGATACTAGCTTACAAATTAAAAAATACATTATAAATATTGATAAGGGCAGCAGAGATTTTTGAAAAGTAGCATATTTTTCTACATTCCTTGCATATTTATAATATTCCATAATTAAATGCTTTCTGCTTTTCTTTTCTTAGAAAATAGATTTTTTTTTTGCTTTAATACCTATGTGTGAATATTTGGTAGAAAATTCATTTTTTTGCTATTTTATTTATTTATTGCACTTAAATAATGCATATCTGGAGGATTCTCTGGTGGCCTTGGCACCTGTATATTAGTTTACTGATTGTGTCCTGTATAGTCAGAGAGTTTTAGAAGGTTAGTTTTCATAGTCTGACCTTAGAGTTGTAATTTAGAAAAGTCATGCCTTAGGTTATTTTTACTAATAACAGTTAAATGACTCTTGCATTACCTGAATTTGTAGATGAAATAATACATTTGAATTTTCTAGGTTACTCATTAAATCTTAAAATGTCTGCCTAAACATTTTAATGCAGCCTCATGACACATTTCAAAGTGAAAGCCACTTTTCATATCTCTTATAAAAATACCCTTAAGGGCATTTTACACTATCATTGCTTTGTGCAATTGTTCTTAATTTATTATTTGTACTTCATATTTCTCTTTGCTTACATTTTGTAAGTTTAAGTCTGTATATTGCAACTAGACACTTCTAGTTACTTCTTCCTCTCTTTTAGCAAAACTGCTATTGCTGAACAAAAAGAGACTGGCGTTAAATAGGGTGTATGCTTTATCAGAATACAATTTTATTGATCCACATTTTTCCAGCTAACACATAATTGATCACAAACAGTTCTCCTGACTAAAAATGCATTGTTTTATCATTTCCTAGGAAGATTAAATTATATAAAAAGTTGCCAATTGTAATAGGTTATCAAATTTGTTTAGGGTCATCTTCTTAAAATATTTTTTAAAAATGTTGGGTGTGTTATTTTACATTTTGTCAGCTTAGTTGTAATGTACATTTTTGATAATAGGGCATTGTAAAAGTCTCTGATCATCTGCAGCTGTATAAGAGCAAAGAAGTAAGTGTACTTCACTACTCTTACTGCCACAAGCTAAGTCCTAACAAAGGTTCTTACTTAGCTTGATTGGCTTCATCCCTTCTCTTCTTCCAACAATGCTCTAGGTGTTTCTTGTGTTGTTTCATTACCTGGAGCTCTGCCATAAACTGGGGGCCCTATAGGATCCATGTTCACAAAGTGTCTATATAGATGCGATCCTATCCCAAGGTCCTCATGTGCTCATTCCAGCTGCAGCCAAATCATACACCAGAGTCTCAGGAATAACTCCCAAGTTCCCTTTGAAACCAATGTTCTTTTATTAGCGGTGATAATATTACTGGATGACTGCTAGGGAATGGATTTGTTCCACTCATTCTGTAGATCCAACCACATTTATCTAAGGTCTCATTGCAATTTAACAATACAAGCTATAATAAAAAACTACTGTATATTACGGCTTCTTGATTAAATGGGATGCACTGCTTAAATTGGCGTTGATTGAAAATCAGATATATTGTTTTTGCTGGCTTGTATTCTGATTGCCAGTCTGTGAGCATAACATTCTTTTATTTCTTTCCAGTCTGTTGTAACTAAATATAACATGTCACCAGAGCATTATTATTTGAAAACAGATGCGAGTTGTAATTTCTTTTATTAACTCTGTTGATCTTTGGGCATATCTTTATTCTGTTTCATTTTTTAGTGAATGTTTGCTGAATTTTATAAAGGGCCCTTGTTCTGTAGTTTAAAAACTCATTGTCTCAGGACAGTGCACCAAATTATACAGATCAGACTGCATGATGTAAAAAGTTTTGATCTATATTATACAGTGGTTTCCTGTTTTTCAGATGATATTGACTGTGTTCCTGAGCAATAATGAACAAATTTTGACTGAAGTACCAATTACTCCTGAAACAACCTGTCGAGATGTGGTAGAATTTTGCAAAGAACCTGGTGAAGGTAGCTGCCATCTTTCTGAAGTGTGGCGTGGAAATGGTAAGCAATACTTTGGGATTCCATATTTGTCTATGCTGCATTATGTCAACCATTATCATTTATCAACTGATTTTCAACAACAGTTTAAAAGAAACATTACTTTGTGATTATGCATTATCCCCAGTTTAGGCTAAAACTATACATTTTTTTCCAGACTATGTGGGAATTCGTGGTCTTATGAAAAATCAGAAGATCAGTAAACAATGAAAGTGTTTCATTTTCAGTTATATCTTTATAATAATGAATTACAGCATAAATCAGTGATGGCGAACCTTTTAGAGACCAAGTGCCCAAACCACAACCCAAAACCCACTTATGCATTGTCGGGTGCCGGGTGGGCGTGGCCCATTGGGTGGGCATGGCTGCGGTGGTAACGGCAGACTGGGTGGGACTAAAAAGTTCAATCAATGAATTCCAACTTTGCAAGATCTTTTTTTTCCTGCGAGAAGTTGAAATCGACTGATTGAACCTTTTTTTTTTTGTACATGGTGGCAGAGGCCTAAAGCGAAAAGGTTTTATAAAACCCAGCTGAAGGCCTAGGACTGAGGCAACAGTGCGCGTGCCCACAGAGAGGGCTCTGAGTGCCGCCTCTGGCAGCCGTACCATAGGTTCGCCACCACTGGTATAAATCAATCAAAATATATATTCATATATGTATTATATTTACTAAATAAAATTCACATATTTAAATCCATTTAGAAAATGACAGCTTTAAAATATCCATTACATAGTTAGCAATTTTAAAAGTCTGAATAAATTAATCTACAGTATATGCCACAAAGCTAAAGAGCAGTAAACACTACAACGCTTAAGAACTAGGGAAAACAGATATCTGTTTAAAAGCCCTCTAAAAGAAACATATAGGTGCAATTATCTACACTCGAATAACATTCCTTAGGTAGAGCCAATTTGAGGTATTTGTCCTAATGATGCCTGCCTGGTCTTAGAAGCTAGTCAGGTATGGTTGGAAGAGGTTATTATAAATCACACATCCATGTGGATTTTGTAGAATTTTAACAAATCTGGATGCAATTTGGGGAACTTGTCCTTAAAGGACTGCACTTTGAATTTAACTCCAAAATTGGCAAATCATGCAGTTAATAAACAGGATCTGACTATCTTGTTTAAGAAGAACTAAAACAGCTATATTATGTGTCAGTGAAGTTGCTATAGCTTTTTAAATTAAGCACATTACAGTAACCTAGTTTTGTTATAGCTAAGTAGGTACGTTTCTGCCACCTCTGTTTCCACAGAGATTGAGCTTTTTTTCTAATTCCAGAGTTTTATAGTTGTCCAGGGAGCAGGATATGGCAAACACAGCTAGAGGTGTTGGTTGGTTGGTTGGATGGATGGATGGATGGATGGATGGATGGATGGATGGATGGATGGATGGATAGATAGATAGATAGATAGATAGATAGATAGATAGATAGATAGATAATACAACATGTAATTAATTAATTAATTCATGTAATTAATTAATTCATGTAAATCTTACATGAAGACAAATGGAACTCCACAGTATTCTACTAGTTACTTCCTTCTCTTTAAATTTTCACAGCAATCTAGCACAATACCATTACTGTACTTGTGTAGATGGCATGCTTTTAGCTTGAACCTGAATAGAGTTAAATATGCATATTTAGCCTTAAACCTATACTTCTTAATAGAATTCTGATGGGATATTCTGAATGGAAGAGGTTTCTGCCTGCTTGTTCTTGGTAAAAGGTAAAAAAGATGATATGATTATCTTGATTATCATAAATTAGCAGTGGTTAAACATAGTAAACTGGCATGATCCTAAAAAACTGGTAAAGAACAAAAATATTTAGGAATTAAGAAACAAGGGGATATTACACCTTAATGACATTCTTTAAATCATTGCATTGCTTAGTACTATTTCATATTTTCATCAAGGACTTATTTTGTCAGATAGCAAAATAGAGGTATAATATCTCGTTTGCTTTTGTGTTAGGCTGATTTGGCTGTGTGGAATGTGGTGGCTTGCAAATTGTTCGAATGTAATTGTTTCTAGAGTGATAGTGACTAAAGTCCTATTTATAATAGTTTGGTTGCAAAATATGAGATTCAGTACTGTATGGTGTAGTTGTTAAAAGTGTTGAGAGTGATTCCAACACTGAGACACTAGTCCTTCATTGTTATTTTCTAATGTATTGGCTTGTGAAAGAGTAAAATAATTATGGCGTTCAGAAGATCACTGGATGATTGGGCCAGTTATTCCCTTTTACTTCAGCCTATCACACAGTATGCTTATATTGGGCAAAAACTGGATGAGAGAGTGCTGTATACACTACCTTGAGCTTCTGAATGAAAAAGTGGAATATAAATCTAATAATAATATTTTAAAAATATAAACATGGGAATGAATCACATGAAACTACAGTCTTGTGCAAGCTACAATCCAGTTCAGCACTGCTGTCATTATTTTTAGAGATTATATAATTTCAATTTGTAAACTTTTTCAAAAAGGTTACTCTGTAATTGGGAGGAAGAAAGAATTAGGTTATCCATTAGAACCCTAGAATATTATAATTATGATGGGGGGAGGGAAATGACAGGAAAATAAAACATATATCTTATGTTATATACAGTACTTGTTTACTCTTATTTTAAGTAAATTGCCAGTGAAGTGCTCTGATGAATGACATTTGATTCTGTATACAGAAAGACACATACCGTTTGATCATATGATGTATGACCATCTACAAAAATGGGGACCTCGTAGAGAGGAAGTGAAATTTTTTCTCCGACATGAAGAATCCCCAACAGAAAGCAGTGAACAGGGTATGCACTCTTTTATTCTATGTTTGTTGCTGTATCGTGGTTATAATTTTTATGTGCCCCAACTTTTATCAGTTTAAATTAAATGTGCCAGCATAGCTGATTTTTAACTAATTCTGTAGGTAAAGGTTATTTGCAGGTATTTCTATAGATAAAGATCCTTAAAAATATATTCTATATTCCATGCTTCCTATCCTTCTGTGTGAGGATTGGGCAAACATTCCTATATAACGATGTGAGATACTGATGACAAATTACAATAAATGTTTGTTCTTAGTTATTGCAGCTGAAGGTGATGAGACCAGTTTCTGAACCTAAGGGGAAATTGATTCATTAATTATATGTTTTATACCTATTCAGTTGTTTGACTCAAACAGAAATTAGATTACTTTTAATTTAAGATTACTTAAATTCTTAGATTATATTTTCACATTGTATAATGAATAACTTAGTTTATGAAATATATGAAACAAATATCAAATATTGGTGTTATTTCTCCAATCATTCAATTTATATATTATTAGGACACATTAAACTTATAATAATATTCAGTGGCAAAGATAAGAAAATTCAAGAGAGTACAAGTACATTTTCCTAGAACTGTAAAGTTGATTTTAATTCTTACAAGTGAATTCCTAATTTTTAATTGTGGAAAACTTGGAGTAAATGCTTTAATTGAAAATAATCTACCTTGTAATTACCACTGTAATATCAGGATTTACTAGTGCTTGAAAATAATGGTTAAAATATTTAGCTTTGCTTTATGACATTTTCCTTGTGGGTTTGTAAAAATCTCTCATTCTTTTTGGGACTGAACATTGTACATTTATGTATTCTATATTTAGAATCTTATTTTGCGACCTGATACCTTTGGCCCACAGTGTAATTGTAGGTCTGAAACACTACATATAATCCTGATTTAAACTTGTTTAGTCTACAGTCCTAAGGATGCTTATCTAAAAGCTTTTCATTTTGTTTGCAATTGTCAGCTTGTGGATTTCCAATACTTTTAGTACTTTTAGGCCCTAGACAAGCTAATTTCTGTTTCAGTAACATATTTTACTTAAAAGCAACTAAGATTTTTTTTTCTTAGTTAGAAAAAGGAATGGAGAAGCAGGACTTTTAAAATATACAGATAAAAGCCTTCATTTTGCTTTAGGGGATAAGGGCAAATTTAGACATCAAAGGTTAGTAGGAAAAAGTGGGTTCTTCTTCTGGAAATTATAAATAACACATACTACCTTTAAAAATCTAATACTAAGACTGAAGATTTCAGAATAACTGAAGGAGCAAGTTTTAAGTATGCTTTTATAACAAAAAAAATTAATAGTTAGACATTACATGGAAGGAAAAAGAACCAAAAAAATAACTAATAAGATCTAAGGTCAAATAGTTAAGAAGCTAGGATCCATTTGGACCACATTGGACCAGCCTGGGACACAGAGGGGCAATATTTTTTAGAGAATGTTTGTTGTGGGTATGTGTATGTATGTAGATGAATGGTGGCCCTGTTATGTATAAATTTTATTATTGTATTTAGGGCGTATGAATGTGAATATTTTTATTTTTATGTATATAAATTGAGTGTGAAGGTGTACTGAGTGTTTGGGGTATGAGGATGGTGGAGTCGGGAGCGGAACCTGGTACCCCCTCTGCTGAGTGCAATAGCAAAAGTAGGGGGGGCAGGACTTACCCTTGGGCTTGGTCTGTATGGAAAGCTAGTCTGGTCAGGAAGGGAGAAGGCTGGTGAGGGTGGGGGTACTCCGGGGAGGGGAGAAGGTCGGAGCATCCCGGTTATGACTGGGATGGGCAGATATGGCAGGAGCCAAGGGGCAGGCCATCTTTGGGGAACGAGGACTCGCCATATTAGAGCAATTCCTTGTTCCGGCCCCTCAAAAAGCTCATCCTGTAGTACTGGTGACAGGGGAGTACAGGGCCCTAGTTGTAGGCTGCTGTTGCTTAATGCCAGGTCCGTTGTCAACAAAGCCCTCCTTGTCCGTGATTTAATATTGGACAGTGGGGCGGACCTGGCATGTATAACCGAAACCTGGCTGGGCCCTGAGGGGGGTGTTTCCCTCTCGGATATGTGCCCGGACAGGTTTGTGGTGCTTCATCAGCCTCGACATCAGGGCAGGGGTGGGGGAGTGGCAGTCATCGCTCGGAAGTCCTTGAGTCCTCGTGGGATTCCTGCCCTGGAGGTCGTTGGGTGTGAGTCCCTCCTATTGAAGTTTGGTTCACGGGTTCAGTTGGGTTTGTTGCTGACATACCTACCTCCCAGCTGCGTTGCAACAACCCTGCCTGCGTTGCTGGAGTCAGTAGCCGGGTTGGCGTTGGAGTTCCCCAGACTTAGGGTACTGGGGGACTTTAACCTACCATCACTCGGCGATCGCTCAGAGGCGGCGCAAGAGTTCATGGCTTCCATGGCAACCATGGACCTGACCCAGGTAATTCAGGATCCAACTCATAGGGGTGGTCACACACTCGACCTTCTGTTTCTCTCGGGGCAATGGAGGCATGATCTGGAATTAAGGGAAATAGAGATCTCGCCCTTGTCATGGACAGATCATTTCCTATTGAGGCTGGACTTCAGAGCATCACTCCCCCATCGCAGGGAGAGGGAGCCGACTAGGTGGTTCCGCCCCAGGCGCCTAATGGACCCAGATCGGTTCCAGGAGGAGCTTGGGGAAATACCTGACTCCCTTGTCCACAACTTGTCCGGGTCCCTGGAATGAGGCGGCATCCGGGGCCCTGGATCGAATTGTGCCTTTGCGACCTCTCTATGGTGGTGGTCCCCGGAGGGCGCCTTGGTTTACTGAGGAGCTCTGGGAGATGAAGCGCCACAAGAGACGTCTAGAGCGACGTTGGAGGGCCAGTAACTCTGAATCTGACCGATCACTATTAAGAGCCTATCTTAGGACTTATTTAGTGGCGATAAGGGCGGCAAAGCGTGTTCACTTTTCCGCACTTATTGCGTCCGCAGAATCTCGCCCGGCCGCCTTGTTTAGGGTGACCCGCTCCCTTCTTAAAGTGGAGGAGGCGGAGGAACCCTTGCAGGGGAGAGCTGAGGAGTTTGTTCAGTTTCTTTCGGACAAAATCGCTCAGATTCAGAGAGACCTGGACTCCGACTGGGCAGTGCCAGCCAAGTTGCCGGGGGCTGGTCTTAGTCATGTTATCTGGAGCGTGTTTGAGCCTGTGACCCCTGATGAAGTGGACAAGGCATGAGGGCAATGAATGCCGCCACCTGTTTATTGGACCCGTGCCCCTCCTGGCTGGTTTCTGCCAGTAGGGAGGTGACACGAGGCTGGCTCCAGGTGATAATCAACGCCTCCTTGATGGAGGGGTCTTTCTCGCAATCTTTAAAGGAAGCGGTGGTGAGGCCCCTCCTCAAGAAGCCTTCCCTGGACCCAGCTGTTTTGAAGAACTTTCGTCCTGTCTCCAACCTCCCCTTTGTGGGGAAGGTTGTAGAGAAGGTGATGGCGTCCCAACTCTTGCGATCCTTGGATGAAACGAATTATCTGGACCCTTTTCAATCTGGTTTCAGGCCCAGCTACAGCACTGAGACTGCTTTGGTCGCACTGACCGATGACCTCTGGCGAGCCCGGGATAGGGGTCATTCCTCTATCCTGGTGTTTCTTGACCTCTTAGCGGCTTTCGATACCATCGACCATGGTATCCTTCTGCGTCGTCTCGGAGAGGTGGGGGTGGGCGGCACGGTATTGCGGTGGTTCTCCTACTACCTCTCTGACAGGTTGCAGTCGATGTTGGCGGACGGACAGAGATCGACCCCTAGGCGCCTCGATCATGGGGTGCCTCAGGGCTCGGTCCTGTCCCCCCTCCTTTTTAACATCTACATGAAACCGCTGGGTGAGATCATTCGGCGACACGGGGTGAGGTATCATCAGTACGCGGATGATACCCAATTATATATCTCCACCCCGTGTCCTTTCAGTGAAGCAGTCGACGTGATGTGCCGGTGCCTGGAAGATGTGAGGGTCTGGATGGGGGTGAACAGGCTTAGACTCAACCCTGACAAGACCGAGTGGCTCTGGGTCTTGCCTCCCAAAGGCAACTGGATGGTCCATCATTAGTCCTGGGGGGGGGCAAATTTACCTCCCTCAGTGCAGGCACGCAACTTGGGTGTCCTCCTGGACTCACAGCTAAATTTGGAACAACATCTATCGGCTGTGGCCAGGGGGACCTTTGCCCAGGTTCGCCTGGTGCACCAGTTGCGGCCTTATTTGGACCGGGAGGCTTTACTCACGGTCACTCATGCCCTTGTCACCTCAAGACTGGATTACTGTAATGCGCTCTACATGGGGCTACCCTTGAAGAGCATTCGGAGACTGCAGTTGGTTCAGAATGCAGCCGCAAGAGTGATTGTGGGTGCGCCAAGGTACGCCCACGTGTCACCTATCCTCCGCAAGCTGCACTGGCTTCCTGTGGGTCTCCGGATGCAATTCAGGGTGTTGATTAAAAATTAGTAAGTGCTTTTTGAGCTTTTGATTTAATATATCAAGAAGAGCTCTTAACTTGAAAGAGAAGTGTGTACTCTGTATAAAGGTAGAGATTGTGTATCAGTTTAGAATGGAAATCCTTCTTTGCATATTTGGACATCATACAAGAAATAAAGAAAAATAGGAACCAGTCTTGCATCTTCAAGGAAACAACTAAGCTCAGAGAGCACCAGGGAGCTCTCATTTCAACACTGAACAACATTAAATATTCTTCTTTATCAATCTCTAAATCAGTGGTTCTCAACCTGTGGGTCGGGACCCCATTTGGGGTCGAACAACCATTTCACGGGGGTCGCCAAACAAGGCTGTCCGCCATTTTTTCCCCTTTTCTTTGGCCACGCCCCTGGCACCCAGTGATGTATAAGTGGTTGGGGGTCACCACAACATGGGGAATTGTATTATGGGGTCGCGGCATTAGAAAGGTTGAGAACCACTGCTCTAAATTTTAATCTGTAAGTATTATTTATCCCAAAGATGCTTTTTCATGAGGCAACTGGACTTTCTTGTTTTTCTTTGAAGACATTTCGCTACTCATCCAAGAAACTTCTTCAGCTCTGACTGGATGGTGGGGAATATAAGGATTTATACTCCTTGCAGACAGTTGGTCATTTGCATTCTTTTAGAAGACAGTTGGCTGTGTAACCTTCTTGGAACTGTTGAAAGGACTGTGTTGTAGACTGGAGCTAGATAATGTCGTATCCTTCCCCCTCTGTTGAGAGAGGACTGTTCAATTTTGATATAGATGGCCTCTTTGACCCCTCTTTCAAACCAGTATATTTACTTACCTGTGATAAGATGAGTAGCAAATAAGTTTAATAAATAAATAAATAAAAATTGTTTCCTTGCTGTATTTCATCTTCTTTGCAGTTGTGTTTTCCAAGCTTTTATTCTTAACTGTAACTTAAAATATTTCTTATTTCTAGTCATTCTTCTTTTCAACACTATCACTAAAGCAGCCATTCCCAGTATTATTACAGAACAAAAAGCTGCAACTTCTATCAAATTTATGGTTCATTTTGTGTTCAATCCACATTCATCCAACATTCATATCTGACTTTATATTTTTAGTTTTATCACACATGCTTCTTAAGTACCCATTATTTCCATTTCATTTAACTTTTATGTGTCTTATGACATATCCAACTTTCATGTCTGCTTAACATAAACATTGTGCACAGCAATTGTTGCTTCTTTCTACATTGTTCACAACAGACTATATACAACATGATACACTTCAATGTCACAACCATTTCTCATACATTTCTTCATAAATACATTAAACAAAAAGGTATACTAGAGGCCACCAAAAACTCACAAATAACCACCACAGCCACCTGTGCTGGAGTCACAGCTGATGCTACACTTGAAAGTCAGGAGGGCACATTTCAGAGAGAGGACACCCCCCTACATTGCTCATCCAGGTATTAATGATACAAACCAGGTTGGTTCTCTCATCCACAATCAAATTGTGGATGAATTGAGCTTTGTTGCAGGTCAACCTGGCATTAAGCAGCAACAGATGGAGACCTGAACCACCAAAGCTTTAGAAACCAGGTCTTGGAACTAAGCATAAGGGGCCAGAACACTGTACTGGTATTAAACACTGGGGCAACCTTCTCCAAAAGAGCCCTGCCCCCTGTCTCCTGTCATATTCCCGATGCCATCATGATTGCAATGCCCTCCCCTACTATCTCCCCTCTCTTCCTTTCTTGCTTTGTTTCCCGATCCGAGCTCCCATCCATTAGGCACTGGAAGCCACCCACATCCAGCCCTAACAAAGACAAAACAGATTCTGTTCAGGTTCTGGCACTCACTACACCCACCTGACCAGGTCCTCCATCCAACCATCTCACCCATACCTTCCTTCACACAACTCTTCAGTATCCTAAACCAAACTATCCTCTTTTACTCCCTTACCTTCTGCCCCTCTGTGTTACCCAAGCAGCAGAGAAGACATCCTCCAAAAAGGACTGAAAGGCAGCACCCCCAACCCATTCCTGTCTCCCATATGAGGATAGCAAGACAACTAGGCATAACCCCCACCTCTAGCTACCAAATCTTATAAAACCCCTGGTTCATACAAATATTCTTAATTTTGTGTGTCAGCAACTTCAGTCCCAGGTATTCCTAGACAAGCAAGGGAATCTATTGAAATGACTGTTTTATATGTGGCCACCTGAGCAGCAGTTGCAACAGACATGGCAGTCCTCCCACGGTTCCACTGCCTTGCTCCTGCACCCGCAGCCATAAACCACCTGGCCATGTGAATCCTCTACTCCACCGGGGACTCTAATGAACAGAACCCCATAACCACCATCACTTCCTAATCCTGTGCCAGTTGAGTGTGTGTTTATATTCTCTGGGGCAGCAGACCCAACTAGCTAATCTGTTAATTTATTTCTGCTCATTCTACTGTGCTACTGCGTCCTCTGGTGTCTGTTCCACAGTTAGAACAAAGGCAGCATATCCACAGCACCACTGAGCTTTACTTCATGCTCACCAAGGAGCCTCCATTATGGGGTGTCACCCCCTGACACAATCTCACTTGGTTGCCACCCAGGGAAATATCAACAGGGCTCCACTGGCTTTCCAATCCCTTGGTCCATTGCCACCACACCAGCTCCCACTTTTTTTAATTTAAAAAATTATCAGAGATTGCATTTGCACAAAATTAAAGTCTGGCTGTTTAGGTCAGCAGCTTGTTTTTATAATCTTAGGCATACTGTTACTCTTCATGGAGATAAAGCAATCATGGCAAGCAAGTTGATACATAGAAAAGATTAGACAGTGAATTCTTTACAGTGCCTGTTGGAAACTCAGGCTTAATAGAGTTTTAACATTCTCTTCTGTGAATAAAATGGTATGGCGGTTGGTGTAGTTTACAAATAGGTATGCAGATAGTCCTCGGCTTTTGACCACAATTGAGTCCAAACTTTCTGTTGCTAAGCAAGACAGTTATTGTCAGTTTTGGCCCTTTTTATGACCTTTTTTGCCACATTTGTTAAGTGAATCACTATAGTTAAGTTAGTAACACGATTGTTAAGTGAATCTGGCTTCCCCATTGACTTTGTCAGAAGATCACAAAAGGTGATCATTGAACCATGTCAGTACAATCATTATAAATATATGCCAGTTGCCAAAATATCAAATTTTAATCATGTGATCATGGGGATGCTGCAATAGTTATAAGTGTGAAAAACATTGAAATTAGCAACACCAGTGGTGATAGTATTTGTGGAAAGGGTATAGTGAATAAACGCTTTACCACTTTACCACCTTAGCTATATAACTGTGGAAAACAACATAGTAATTATAACTCAGATAATGTCAATTCCAGTGGTTCTTTAGTTGTTATTGAACTGAGGTTCTATTGAGATGTAGAAAAACAAAGCTCTGTACACCTAAAAAGATAGAAAACATTTTACTGTCCTCTTCAGCACCTGAAATTGTGCTGGCCAAATCCACACACAAGGTTGGGCATTATATTTAAATTGTCTAAATGTATACTAATGCTAAAAATAGCTATTAAATGGGAAACCTAAATGTTATAATTGTGTTTTTCCCAGGACGTCAGATTCAAAATCATAGAAATGGAATCTCTATACCTGTGGAGAAACGTACAGAAAATGGGGTAGGTGGCAAATTGCATATTAAAAGTATATGTATTTTCAAGTTGATTTGTATTTTTAAACCTGGAATTTTGGCATCCTCAAGTGAGTTTCATAGTTAAGACAAAAATAAACAAAGTAAAATAAAGTAACATAAAATAACAACCAACATTTTGTAAGAGTGCGATATCTTGTGTAATTTTGGTAATTTCACTTTTGGAATCTTTCACAGTCTAATGTGAGAATACCAAAATCTCGCATTTCTTCATAAGAAATTATTTTTAAAACATTAGGATTAATTAGTCTGTCTTGGGAAGTTATGCCTACTTTGGCTTTCTCATACAGTTCTAAACATACAGTATATTTTAAAATTTCTGAAACACATTTTAAAGTATTTTACATAGATTTCCCCAAGGCAAACAATTTTACATTTTACAAATTTAGCAAGGATTTCTTTTATAAAATTTATGGCAGTTGACAGCCTAACTTTTTTCCTCTCCTGAATTTAATATAAAAAAACAATTTTATGTAGAATATTTATAAGGATTTAACCCACTGATATTTCTATTATATATAAAAAGTTTTCAATATATGTTATATATTCCAAAACTATGTTATTTGGCAACAATCTACTGATAGTAGTAATTTAGACTATAGACCATTAGACTATTAGAACAAGTTTTAAATACTGCTTTTATAATATTTTAAATATGACTATTGAATAAATAGCTTTAGATTTGTTTTTTAAACGTTAGGCAAATCTATAGCAATATATGATTTAGGAAAAGATTTGCCATTGCCTCCTTCCTGGGGCTAAGAGAAAGTGATTGGTTCAAAATCACTCAGTTGGCTTTGTGCTTAAGTTGGGACTAAAACTCAGGATCTTTCTGTTTCTAATTCAGTGGTTTAATCACTGCACCAAATGGACTCTTTTTATCAGAGTTCTAGTGTCTTTATATATGTAGGCTTATTAACATATTACCCTTATATCCTGCCCATCCTCAAAGACTCTGAGAAGTTAAGATTACAAAAATAAAACAATAGTAATACATATAGAAATAAACAATAACACAAGTTAAAACCCCGTGCTGCATATTTCAGCTAAATAGCATAAAAATAATCATATGCTTCTGGATTTTACATTTATTTGCTAAAACTTGTTTGGTTTGATTTGGTTTATTTCTATTCTTATTGTTTGGAAAGTAGAAATTTTAGAAAGGTTAAGGTATCTATTTTATTTCAGTGATAAATGTGTTTATTACAGTTATCCAACGCCTCTGGACAGCATAGAAACTTTTTAAAAAACAGTAAAAGCAATTAAAAATTGTACAGAGATGTACAGAGATGTACAATCCATAAAAGTTTCTATTCTGCATTGCTTGTGTTTTGAATTTAAATCCACAGTCAAGTGTAAAAATGGAACTAGCTTAAACTTCTCCATTTAATATGAAAAGGACAATGCATTAAGCTAATTAGACCTGACAGCTGATGTGATCTTATCATGATTAGGCTTTTCACTGCTGGCAAAAACCACTAGACTTTTTCATTCATTGATTTCTGATGAATGCTCAGAGGCAGTTCTCCATATTGAAAAAGGATTTGGGTAGGAGGAAAAGGAGACTTTTGTTTTTGATTGAAGAAGGTACAAAAAACCAGCTGAGATTTATTAGATCTATACAAACTGAGGATGAGAACTTATTTCTTATGAGATTTGGGACTTATTGACCAACTTAGCTTGTGAATAGTATTTTTGCAGTTCATTGGTTTTACAATTAATATTAACAATAAACATTTGATTATTGTTTTAGTAATCATACTTAGCTGTGAAAATAAATGGTTAAATAGAAATAATAGTACAAGTTTTATATTTACATTTGGAATTGTACAGATTTCTTATGGAACATTGTCAACAATTTAGTTGAAAAAGAAATAATGTTGTTATGAAAATATGTGAGGCATGTAAATGCTTTATGATGCCTACAGCATTAAATTTAATCTTGTGCTGTTTTGAATGTCTGTTTTCTGAGGTTGTGTCATCTTCATAAACATTGCATTAACCACAATGTTGGAAAAACAAAAATAAAGTAAAGCCTATGGTATTCCAGAATCTTTTAATGAGCCTTAATCATCGCAGGTTAGAGCATATCAAACTAGAATGGCTTTGTTTCCTCCTTTTCCTCCTACCCAAATCCTTTTTCAATATGGAGAACTGCCTCTGAGCATTCATCAGAAATCAATGAATGAAAAAGTCTAGTGGTTTCACAAGTCCAATCCAGTTTCACAAGTCACAATTAAAAGAAATAATATTTATTTATAGTGCTTAATGAAGCATTTCTATTATTTGTAATTGCTTTTGTGTGATGAATTATAATAAACACAACATTCATATTTTGGTTTGCAGTTCTTTCCAGTTTCATTAAAAGGAGAATGGAAATCATTTCATCACTGAGCAGTCTTCAGTTTGTAGTAACTTTTGTATATTTTACAGTGAACAGATGTGCAGTCAATATAATATATTTTTTTCTATTTGTTATAAAATTAGATTAAATTTATTACAACTTTGGAACTGATTATAAGTTATTAGAGAAAAATGCATTTCATGTTTTGAAATATTTGTCACAAAACCAATTCTTTTAAATGGATTATTAAGAAGTACAGTCTGATATACAGAGGAAGTGACAAGAAAAATATTCAAGATTACTTTCTTTTGATTCTTTTTGGTATAAAAAGGGGTAGAGTTTTGAGATTTCAAAGTTCTATTAAAATACCCTACCCAATTGAGTTTCTGTAGCTCTTGTGGTATTTTGTCCTGGCCTATCTGGCAGAGTTGAAAGTATCATTATTCTCTATTCCGGGGGTCCTGAACCTGTGGGCCATGGCCCACTATCAGGATGTGGCCTATTTGCAATGGCCTGCATGAGTGGCATGTTGTCGCATGCCGCCCCTCACACAAATGAAGCTGTGTGCGCGCATGCGCATGGCTACGCCTTGCACAAAACCATCCCCTCTTCCCCCCCTCTCCCGCCTCACATTGGGCCATCAACCCGGAAAGGTTGGGTAATGCTGCTCTATTCAACCCTTGTTTCCAAGTCCAAGCACTTTCCAGTGCTGTCTGACCCTAAGCGGTAAAACTTGTCTAGTGGTCTTGAAGAACTGCCAAACAAATGTGGGGAGCAAGAGTTTGTTCTGTATTTGGTTTCTATAGGACCTTCCTATCCTTCACAGTTAGGAGAGTAGACTAAATCTGATAGTGGTGTAGAAGAGTACAGAGATCTTCTTTAAGGAAGAATGTGAGGGTAGGTTTGGTCACCACAATGTACAAAAGATGTTGAGACTCTAGAAAGAGTACAGAGAAGAGCAACAAAGATGATTAGGGGTCTGGAGGCTAAAACATATAAGGAAGGGTTGCTGGAATTGGGTATGTCTAGTTTAATGAAGAGAAGGACGAGGTGGGACATGATAGCAGTGTTCCGATATCTCAGGGGCTGCCACAAAGAAGAGGGAGTCAAGCTATTCTCCAAAGCGCCTGAAGGCAGGACAAGAAGCAACGGGTGGAAACTAAGCAAGGAGAGAAGCAACCTAGAACTAAGAAGAAACTTCCTGACAGTTAGAACAATTAACCAGTGGAACAACCTGCCTCCAGAAGCGGTGAATGCTTCTGCTTTTTAAGAAGAGACTGGACAGCCATTTGTCTGAAATGGTATAGGGTTTCCTGCCTGAGCAAGGGGTTGGACTAGATGACCTCCAAGGTCCCTTCCAACTTGATGATGATGATGATGATGTGAATTTAACCTAATATGGGTTTTCTAGTTCAGAGCTCCCCAACCTTTCTGGGTTGGCGGCCTGGAGGGAAAGGAGGAGCAGGGAAATGTGTGTGCGTGCACCTTGTGCACGCACGGCGGTGGCATTAGGGCCTGTGTGCATGCACAAACAAGCCACGGCCCATAGGTTGGGGCCCCCTGTTCTAGTTCCCAGATTTGAGCATCAGTGATTATTTCAATATTATTTATTTATTTTATCTCTCAGTAGCAACAGGGTCAAACTGTTACAGATTACAGTTAAAGTTAGGGCAAGGCTGGTGGACTTCATCCCCTCTCTGTCCTCTTCTACTTTAAGAATTCTAGTATGGCATGTCCTACTGGTCCCCTGTATTACCTTATCTTCCCAGCACCTTCTTTTCTTCTTCTTAGCCTTTGTTATCTCTGATAAGTCTCAAATTAAGTATATCCCAATGGCTAGTCTATCCTCATTTTTTCATTGTCTTCCTTCTCCTCTATCTCTATCTCTTTCTCATTTGTCTATCTTCTTTTCCACCGTCCCAACAAACCAACCCTGCATGGATCAAAATATTTCTTTGCATTGTAGGAATAAATAAAAAACAAGTCTGTTGCATTCTGGACATGAAACATCAAAGTCATGTACTTTGGTTTCAGTTTGGACAAACAAAATCAACTATTCCATACATGAATTATTTTACAGATCTATATAACAGATTTTAAACAGATATGAAAACACTTATCTTCAAGTTTTCAGTCTGCAACTTATTTGGCACATGTATTTCTTCATATACCGCTGCAGTGACAAAAAATATGAAGATTACAGGTTGATAGGCACGATCACATGCCAGGGAACTGTATATTTCTCATATTTCTGTTTCACTGTTTTTTTAAGACTGCTGTTTCTAATACTGGTGTGCATAGAAACTTATCTTTGGGAGCTATGTGTATATCAGCTGATCATTTTTAAATAAATGAAGATAATAAAGCATGCAGGCACTTTTGTTGAATAATATAATTATTTTAATTATGATATATAATTTTATTTCCACATCTTTGTCACTGGGATATGATAGAACTAAAAATAAAGTGAGATTTCACTGGCTATATTTCCAGTAGACGATACTTTGCTCTAAAAGATTCCTCAGATGTAAGAAGTTGAAGTATAAATATTATGTTTTTATAGAGGTTTTTAATTCATAGGTTAGTATGGACAGAATTATATTTGAACCAGTTCTATTTTAAGACATTTCTCACTTAATAAAAAGAAGCCAATAGTTTGTTAGAAAGTGAAGCTCAAAATGAATTTTTGGAATGTGTGGGAGTAGTTATCTATGTAGAAAGCCTTTTCTGAACATTGGAAATGCATTAGTATTATATTATTGTCAGTGAGTGCCACAAGTGTGTCTTACATGTGATAGGCTCAGGTTTGTTTTGAAAAATAAATGATGTCATTCAGAGAACAACTATATAAGTAGTATGAGTATAATATTTAGTTATTTGAGCTCTCAGACTTTAACAGGATTAGAAATGTTTACTATTGCTTTCTTTGAGCTTTGTTTCTAAATAGAGGATTTTGGATTAGGAGAAGTTGAGATATTTTTCAGCCATTTTATCTGAATTGTAATTGAATTAAAAAGAATTAGAATTAAAAGCTTGAATCCTTTTCAGGAAAACTTGTATTACTTGAGAACAAATTTATTATGAAGTTATTTAATTTTCAAAGCTGCCCTATTTTGATGGGCCAAACATTCTGGTTCTGATCTTCAAAATTTGCAGCTCTGAAGCTGAGCGTCTTGCTCTTCTACAACCTTATTTTTCTCATGGAGAAAGAGGAAACAGCCAAGCATAATGCTACAGGTTTAAACCTTTGTTGTTGTTATTTCTGTTTTGTTCATATACCACTTCAGAAAAGTCATTGATGGTAAAGATTTGTCTAAATATGTAGAAAGTATATTTGTGTGTAAAAGGTTATTGTCATTATTTGCTGTTACCGGTGTGGATAGAAGGTGAAATGCTATATTTTGGAGAAATTTCAGTTATTTTTAGCCCTTCAGTATTATGGAATGTATGCACTTAACTGTAATATTTTGGGAAAAATCTAAATTAGATTTTCTTTAATGTCTTACTGATTTTTGTATGAGAAGAAGTTAAGTTGGAACTATACCCTAGTCATAAATTAAACTTTTTCTTAAGGTGTTTGTGCAAAAACACCTTATTGAAAGAGTTCAGGACATGGCTCAATAGATCTGGACAGAAGTAACTTTCTTTTTACTGGCTAGTGTTTTTATTTCCCTCAGCCTTTTTGTATTTTTTGATTTAGTGTAGTTCAGATTCATGGATTTTGATATGCTTTATCAAATGTTGTAATATTTAAGCCATTGGGTTATGATGCATTCTTCTGATGACTTTCTTTCAGTAATTGAAAGCTACATTGTTTTATTATGCACAATTATTTGATGGTAAAATAGTTCTAGTGATACTGTTCAACTGTGAAAACTAAAGTAAGGTAATGAAAAAACATATGCATTCATTAATTATGATACCACACTAATGTCAGATAATTTTGTTTGGTAAGCAGACCAGGCTAGTTGAGTCTTCTGCTTTATGAAAACAGAAAATATATTCTACATGAAATTGTGAAAACAGAAATATTTACTTAGTAAATGTGTAATTTATTTATCTTTTAAAAATTAGTGTTTTCCACTAATAAAAAAAATGAAGCAATGTTTTTGTTTGGTGCAGATTTCATATTTTATAGCCATAGAGTAGTAGTATCATTTTTGTTATTTTTCTGTTAGTGTTATAACAGAACTATGAACCATTGGCTCATCCTTTCAGATATATTTCATTATATAAACAACGAAACAGAATGACAAAACATGTGGACAAAAAAGCAATGGGAGTGGGAGTGACTTCCAACTTCCTGCTGGCTTCCCTATTGACTTTGCTTGTGGGAAGCTTGCAGGGAGCTTTGGAAATCACAGTCGCATGACTGTGGCTAACCATGGTGATGCTGCAGTGGCTACAACTTTGCAAATACAAATGATGTGAAGATTTTTGAAATTTCAGTTACACAGGAGTAATGGGTCTCAGATTTTGCATACGTTTTAAGTTATCAGATTTGAGGTATTTCAAAAAGGTTTGTGCAATGATGCACAGTTGGACTATTTAAAAGTTAGAAACAGACCTGAGAGTTTTAATAACACCCAGATTTTTTGTAAACCAATAATTTATGTGCAGCATCTGATGTACAATATATACAGGATGTGAAATGTTTAAATATTTATTATTGGGGTTTTTTAAATTTTGGGGTTTTCTTTTTAGGATTTTTCTAGATTTTTTAGTATGTTACTGGTTTTCGTGTTTTTTATAGTTGATTGACTATTTTTTGCTAAACCTTGATGTGTTAGGTATGTAAAATATATATTTGGTTTCAGGAAGCTAAATTTTCAAACATATTTCTGTATGTGTCATTTGGAGCTCTGTTTTGTCTTGAGATCAAGTAATAAATTATAGCTTGCTTTTAATTTATTTTCACTGAAATTATGATATTATGTCTCTAGTGCTCTTCCTTTTTTACAATTGATCTTTTTTTCCTTTATAGGTTGGAAATCCACGTGTTGAACTCACACTGTCAGAACTTCAGGATATGGCTGCTAGGCAGCAACAGCAAATTGAAAATCAGCAGCAAATGTTGGTTGCCAAGGTAAACTATCAGACTTTGAAAATATACTCTCTAGAAGATTTTTTAAATCTGAGCAATATAGAAAATGATGTAATCAAGAATTGCTGCAATTCATTTTTCCTTGCTTAAAATGCTGCTACAAGCGAACATATGCAACTGACCTTATATTATACTCTCGAAATAAAAGTGGATTGGATTCTTAGTGAAGGTAGCATAATTGGTGATAAGTGCATCAATGCAGCAAAAATGGCCAGGATATTTTATAAGGCAGCAGTTGAAACATAACAGACATTTTATAGCTAGTTTTTATTTTGTTTTATCAATAGCTTTTTGGTGGTAGTATGGCTTAAACTGCCCAGATTATTTATTTCATCTCTGAGAATAACACCTCTGGTTCTTCCTCTTTTTTCTTTTGACTGGCCCAGTTTCATCTGTTTATTTGAGCTCAACAAATTTAATATAGATGCTTTTAAATTAAGCATGGAATGCTCTGTGAATGTCAAGAATGATAAGAGTTTCCAAAGGTTTTGGAATAGAAAGCTATATGAATAGGGATTATAAGAATAGAGAGATAACAAGATTCTATTCTCCATTTTTTGGAATCATAAATAAATAGTTAAATTGCACCAACTGATTTCAGACTAATTTAAAAAAGTAAAAATATATAATTACCAGTAGTATACGGTTTTAAACATGCTTACAGTACAGCTAGACATGAATAGCATGTTGAGTTCTAGTGCAGAAAGAACAACCTATATTATGAAGGTACTGTAATGAATCCTCAGTGAGCAAAGATTATGGCATATTTAGTTCAGAAAAGGAGTAAATAAGTGAACATAATTGATATGTAAAAATTGTTCATGGTATAGGCTATTTGTCTGAACATTTTATGTATTAAAATTCCAACCCCCTTCCCAATTGTAACATAATTGATATATACTTTCATATTGCAGTATTTTAGCATATGTTACTGAAAATATGTGCCAAATTACAGGACAGAAATGAATTTTAGTTTTTGTTTTGTGTGGTAAGAAAAAAGTGCTAAGAGAAAAAAAGGAAGCATTTCCTGCATTTGTTCAGTTTATAGTCTGTGATTCTAAAGAAGTGATATTTATCTTGCTTTGGATCTCCTTATCTTTATATGTTTGTAATCCTATGATAGTCACTGTTTCCTTTAGGAAGTTGTGTAATGGAGTGTTGGGACCAGTTTTTCAGTGGAAGGAAGCATGTTCAAGTAGCAGGAAGTACCCATTACGGAAACTTGCAACTATGTTGGAATGAATAGTTCACTTCAATTCTTAAAGTGTATATGAGGTTTGATCTTCTTACAGGTTTGATAGGGAGTTATTATTTGTTTCTAGACTCAAAAGAAAAAAGATCAACAGGCAAGGAAGCTATTAACTAATTTAAAGACTGGCTGTCTCAACATGCTTTTAATACTAAGAGACTGGTAATATTTTTCTAAAAATAAGACAGCATGATTACATGTTGTACTTGTTTTGATAGGAACAACGTTTGCGTTATCTCAAACAACAGGAACGCCGTCAGCAACAGTCTGTGTCTGAGAGTGAAAAGCTTCAGAAACTTAAAGAACGAGTAGAGACCCAAGAAACCAAGCTGAAAAAAATCCGTGCCATGAGGGGGCAGGTGGACTATAGCAAAATTATGAATGGCAATTTGTGTATGAGTAATTTCTCTCCATTTCTGTAATGCTTGTTACTTGACTTTTTAAATCCAGTATTTGATTTAGATATAGTCATGTACCGAGATGCCTGTCAAACTACTGTGGATACTTCAAATATGGAAAAGCAATCATCTGAGCCATTTTGAACATGGAAGTCATTTCTTCTATTACACTTTTATTTTCTACCCCCATCCATTTTTCATGATAGAAAGAACAACTGCTGTATCAGAAGACAGCCAAGTTCACCTTATTTTTCAGCACGTTGTGACCACACACTTAATTAAGAATGAAATATAAAAGTTTATGTGCAGTTAAAACTTTAAACTTGGTATGAATTATCTGAGCAATGCAAGGCATTTATATATTTCAGTAAGCCAGGATTTTTTTAAAAAAAATGTCACCTATTATGTGAGCTGTAATGATCTAGTTTGCATATAGCTCACCATGATGGAGGTCTGACAGTTTCCCACCCTTTTAATCTTCCAGAAGGCACCCAAGACTTGGCTCTTGCCCCAGGCGCTGAGATAGGCTGAGGTCATAGTGGGAGGGGACATAGTTCGATTTTAAGATAGGTATCTTTACAAATGTTTTAAATACAATAAGTTAAATAAATATAATTCTGATACATTAAAGGAAAGCACATGATCAATCATATTCAAATCAGAAGAGTTATTCAGTATTAATATTTTCAATTTTTACTGTTTTTAGAGAATCTCTTAATACTATTTCTTTCTTTCAAACATATTTACAAATGCATACACTGATTTTCTTAAGTCCTTAAGTATAAATGGAGACTTGTTTGTTTATGACATTTATAGGCTGGTTGTGGCATAGTGAGCATCCTACGCTTTGAACATAGAGCTGGACTGTACAACTTAGGGTTTAAGTTTTCATGTCAATATTCTTAGCTTCTCACATTTGTCCCTTAATGCTTATAAGTCCTGAGCGTAGGGAACAGAAATAAATTGGCCTATTTATGTATTTAGGGATCAGAAAACTTACGGCATGAGAATACCATAATGAACTTCTGTCAGATCACAGTTTCTACATTTTTCATTCTTATTTTGCTCCTAGAGATATAATGCAAACCAATAAAGGATGATATCTGTAACTCTGGGTTGATATGAGGGGTCCTTGGTGCTCTTTGAGCTTGGTTGTTTTCTTGCAGATGTTTCATTACCCAAACTAGGTAACATCATCAGTGCTAATCTGCAAGAAACTACAAGAAAACAACCAAGCTCAGAGACCACTAAAGACCCCTCATAAAATGCAAAGATTGCAAGCATATAATTCTAAAGTATTGCATGTAATTTCTGATGCTCATTGATATTTTCTTTGTTTTTATTTTAATTGTAGCTACTGAAATTGAACATATCAGCACCATGTTCCAGGAGAAGCAACAAGAATTACAAGCTGCAGTGTTAAAAGTGGACCAGCTTACTCAACAATTAGAAGACCTAAGAAAAGGGAAATTGAATGGGTTCCAGTCTTATAATGGACAGATGACAGGACCTGCAGCTATAGAATTAAAAAAATTATATCAAGAGCTACAGGTAAATAATGATTAGCAGAAGTGTAGCCTTTTTTCTAGCTCCTTTGGTCATTTATAACAAAATAAAACAAAAATAGATAATCCATTAGAGTTGAACAGGACCCATCACTATGTTGCAATAATAGTTCAGCCATAGACATTTATTGGGTAACTCCTACAGATAATATTTGAGTTATGAAAACAATTGGGGCCATAATTTCCATCACTAAACAATTTCGTCATAAAGTGTAATGGCAGCCTTGAGTGCCATTCTACCCCCAAGACCACTTGACTAATTAAGGACATCATGTAGCTGCAACATGGGGAGAGGCAGGAAGAGGTCCAGGCAAGGAGGTTGGTGGGTGAGAGCTACAGGTGGGCAGGTGAGTGCTGTGCGTGGCCTCTGCAGAGTGAGATCATGAGAAAAAGTGCTGGGAATGATTTGCAGACTCCCGCCGGCTTCCCCATTGACTTCGCTTGTGGGAAACTAATTTGGAAGGTCACAAATGGAACCATGTGGGATGGAATACTGCAACTGTTGCAATTGCAAGACAGTTGCCTGGTATCCAAATCACAATCACATGACCCCAGAGACACTGCAATGACCACAATTCTGAGAACTACTTGTATCTCTGATCATTTCTCCCATTCCACTAGATATAATAGGATGGGCATATTCAGGTCCTTTCTTTGAAACTGTTATCCTGCCGAAATGAAAATGTGTGCTTCTATGTCACAGGGCCTGCCCTGTTGATTGGGCACTGCCTCTTCCTGAGATTTAGATGATCTCATCTGTCTTGGCTTTCCAGAAAAGGCTTTTTTCTCCACGTGTCAGGGCCAGCGTATTAGAAAACCTATTAGTTCAACTTATTTTTCAGAATGTGTTCCCCGGCATATCATTTAAAGGCCAGCTGGGGCTTTTGATCTAAAATCGTAAGTGAGACACAAGGATATAAGTTTAATATATATAGAAAAATCTGCAATGTATGCTTGCTACAAATTGCTTTTCTGGAGAAACCACAGGTCTTCAAATTAGGGGAAAAGGAGACTGTAGTCTAAAATTACTTTAAATCCTGTTTTAACATGCCTTTCTGCTCCTCAGTATATTCAGATCAAAAATAAGCAGAGAATAAGAGGAGAAATTACACGCCAGCACTTTTCTGCTCACTCTGAAATGAGCTGAACAGTAGCAGTAGGACAATAGATCTGGAATGAGCATCTTGATATTAGCTCACACAATTTAGGTAGTATACTGACTTCGTCTGACTAGCTTAAAATCACACACGATCATATATAGATTATTCTCCAGCACTGGAGATGGATAATCCACGCAGTGGGTTGAGACTGTATTCCTGGCCAATCAGATCAGTCAGCCAAAGTTGCCACGCCCTGTCTTGGACCATGATCCTTTAGTCTTGACTGATCTGGCCATGCGAGACATCTACAACTTTTGGCTCCTGGGCAGGTATAGTTCCTTTCCATTAGGGGGGATTTTTTCTAGTAGCTGAAATTGCTTAGTTTAAAAGTTAATTAGAGATAATTTAATTCAATTTAATTGACCACTCAAAAATTTCCTTGCTAAATTGTAAAACTCAGGAAGTCAGATTCCTACAGGGGAAACCACCCCCACTTAAAAGGGGGAAATCCCTAACTCCCCTCCCTAACCAACCCCAGCCACCTTCCAGCAGCCGGCAGCCGCCTTAAACAAACGGGGAGGCTCGGGCAACCCCTCGCGTTTAAAACAAACAAACAAACAAAAAAAAAGACAGAAAGGCAAGCAGTTAGCAAGGGAAGCGGAGGACAAAGGGGACGCATGCTGGGAGGGAGATTGATTAAGGGAAACAGCTGGCGTGCGAAGGAGCAGTCTTTTCACTCCAGGCTGCTCAGGATTTTTTAAACGAGGCGCCATTGTCTGCACAGCTGGAAGCACGCGCAGCTCTTTGTTACAACCGCACGTGGCATAGGCAGCCTTGTTAACACATGCGCAGTAGTTTCCTGGCAGCGGCGGCCATATTTTTTGTCCAAACAGGGGAGTTAAAGTTCCTTAAGAAAGCTAGGTTCAGCCGCTGGAGTGAATTAATAGGCAAGCAGTACTGGGGTACTAAAGCATCTATTATTCATTCAAACATTCAAATCAGACACATAGCTACTGGTTCCAGGACTTGGTGTCTTCTACCTAAAGTAAATAAGAACCTTTCATAACTAACTGTGTTTAGTTGCCTTTGGCTCCTCCCAGACTTCGGGTCCCCCATTAGTGGCCCGTACGCCTCTGGATTTAGTGGTGGGTTCCAGGCATCTCCAGTCGCGTGCCTGTCCTTACCCACCATAGTCAAGCCGGGTTCCAGGCATTCCCATTAGCGTGCCTGTTCTTATCCGTGCACAGTGACTAACTCTGACAATTTTGCAGAGTCTGCTCCTGAGTTCCAGACGCCCCCAGTAGTGCGCCTGTCCTTACTCAAAGTTGGAGCTCTCCTACTACCTGGGTCCCCCCTATCGCGGCCCAGCGTTAGTGGAGAATGGAGGAAGCAATCATTCCCTCCACTGGAGCCCCGCCTTCATCCTCTGGAGCACCTGCTTCAGAGGATTCGGAATCCTCTGCAGCCCCTAGAAAGGCTGCAAGGAAGTCATCAAAGAAGGCTGACAAACAGGCAATCAGAAGACACCAAGCCCTAGAAAAAGAGTTCGACAGAGCCCAGAAAAGGGCCAGAATTGAAAATAGGCAGAATGGGGGAATAGGTCCTGATCTACCGCTGGGTCTCCCTTCATCCCCACGGGCCATTTGGTCATTAGGGAACTCATCACAGTCCCAAACAGAGGGTGGGATAGGCGAATTCTCATCGCTCTCCCGATCCCCCTCCCCACGGAGGTTACAGGAAACCCCGAGGACCATGCTAACCACAGCACCTGCAGGGTCGCAGGCAATGGTCACTCCTCCTGCATTGACGGGGGATCTGCTAGCTACCCTAATAGCACAGGCAGTGGACCGTGCATTTGAGGCCAGGGCTCAAACTTCAAAAGCCAAGCCTCTAGGACTTAGAACGAGGCATCGGGAGGAAACGGAGGACCATCAGGACCTCTCCTCCATCTCAGACTCGTCGGTCTCTGAGGAAGCTTACCTGGACCAGCCAGGTACGTCACAAGGGATTCAAATGTCTGAGGAGGAGGAGGACACCTCACCTCAAGGGCCGTCCTTCAGCGGCCTGTTTAACCCTTCTCTTTTTGTTACTATTCTGCGCAAGGCTGAGGCCACAGCCCATCTGGGGCATGGGACACCAGCGGAGCCTGTCACAGTTGACACGGAGGCTGAGCCGACGTTCGCCGAAAAGGTAACCACTCAACACCGCATACCATGCCCGACCATGTTCCTAAACACAATAAGGAAACAGTGGGCAGCGCCAACCTCCCTACCGCTTCCTAGCAATGCGGAGAGGAAGCTATTTAACGTAGCAAGGGAGCTAGAGGGAACATTGGAGGTGCCGGTGGTGGACGAACCCATAGGTCCCCTGATATCGGACACGGCCATATCAGGAGATTTTGCTGAGGCTCTTAAAGCCGAGGACCGAAAGAGTGAGTCCAACTACAGGAGAACGCACCAGGCAATAGCTTGGGCTACCAGGGCGTCTACCTCTGCGTCCTTTTTCTCCAGAGCCACACTTTGTTGGCTCCGTGAGTTACAGGGCCGGGTTCCCATGGAGGATATACGCACTCACCAGGAACTCAGCAAAATGGTAGCGGCCACGGAATATGCGTCGGACGCAACACTTTTAGCGACCATGTTTTCAGCCAAGGCAATGGCGGCAAACAACACGAGCAGGCGCATCCTCTGGCTAAAGAACTGGCAGGCGGATACCAAATCCAAGTGGAAATTGGCTTCGGCTCCGTACCAAGGGGCAAAGCTGTTTGGTGAGGCACTAACGCCATACCTGACAGAGAACAAGGACAAGCGCAAGGTCCTTAAACACATGCTTAAAAGGCAGGACAAGAGACCCGGCTCCTGGGGAAGGAAACAATCCTTTCGTACGGAAGCCAGGGTCAACTACTTTCAAAATTCCCAACCCTTCCAAGCTAGACAGGATAGGGAAAGACAGGGGGACAGACAGAACACAAGACATAGGCAAACACAGGGAAGACGGCCCTTTCGGGGGAACAACCGCCCCTTCCGCCGTACCAGATGACTCCCGCCCAGACCTTCCCATAGGGGGCAGACTAGCAGGGTTTGCTCCCCAGTGGGAAGAGACCACCACGGACGTATGGGTCAGGAACACCATACGTCATGGTCTATCTCTAGAATTTCTCTCAAAGCCCCCGAACCGCTTCCGCCCGTGCCCCTGTCCCACAAACCCAACAAAGAGAAGGCTCATGAACGAGGCCGTTCAGCACCTTCTAAACATACGGGCCGTAGAGCCGGTGCCTATGAACCAGAGAGACCAGGGGTTTTATTCTATCCTCTTCGCGGTCCCAAAACCCTCAGGGGGTTGGAGAGCCGTTTTGGATTTGAAAAGGCTAAATTTCTACATAAAATACCGCAAATTCAAAATGCAGACACTACGCTCCATCCTTGGAAGCGTAAGGAAAGGGGATTTTCTGGCATCGATCGACCTCACGGAGGCATACTTGCACATCCCTATCTCTCTGGCTCACCGCCGCTTTCTACGGTTTGCCTACAGGGGGCACCATTTTCAATACAGGGCACTTCCATTCGGCCTGTCATCAGCGCCCAGGGTGTTCACCAAGATTCTGGCGGTTCTGGCAGCACAACTAAGAAACGTACCAGTCAGAGTCCAGTGCTACCTGGACGATATTCTAATCCAGTCATCGTCCGCCCAGCAGTCTCGGGCGGACCTAAAGTTAGTGATAAAAATGCTGCAGGACCACGGCTTCTCGGTGAACTTTCCAAAGAGCCATCTAACCCCAACTACGAGAATACTCCACCTGGGAGCGGTCATAGACACAAAGGAATGCAAGGTGTACCTATCACAGGAACGCCTCAGCAGCATAAAGAAAGCCGTAAAACAGGTAAGCCGCGGGCAGTCAGTGACGCTGGTCTGCCTCTCCCAGCTGCTAGGGAAGATGATATCGACCATAGCAATAGTTCCTTGGGCAAGGCTGCACTCAAGAGAACTGCAATGGTTCATGCTCCCGTTTCAGAGACAACAAATCAGTGCATCCCGGAAGAGGGTAGGCATATCTCTGAGAGTACGACACTCCCTCAGGTGGTGGCTATCTCCAGCTCTCCTCAGGGGGTCCCCCTTCAGGGAACCAGACAGAGTAGTAGTCACAACAGATGCAAGCTTATTCGGCTGGGGAGGCCACTTGGGGACCAAGTGGACACAGGGCCGCTGGTCAGCGGTGGATCTCCGACACAACATAAACTGGCTCGAGCTGCGGGCTATTCACCTAGTGTTAAGGCATTTTCACAGCAGCATAAAAGGCAGGCACGTACTGGTCCTGACGGACAACGTGACAGCCAAGGCCCACATAAACCGTCAGGGGGGCACACACTCTCGCTCGCTCTCGGCCGAGGCCCTCCTACTGGGGGCCTGGGCGGAACAAAATCTGGCCTCCATAAAGGCCGACCACATATCGGGGGAGGCAAACATCCAAGCAGATCTGTTGAGCAGATCAACAATAGATCACTCGGAGTGGCAACTACACCCGAGGATCTTCAGGGAGGTCTGTCACCGCTTCGGGCTTCCCCAGGTGGACCTTTTTGCCTCTCCTTCCAATGCCCACCTAACTCGCTTCTTCTCCCGATTCCCATCCAAGGGAGCAGAGCAGACGGACGCGTTACGGAGCCCATGGCCAAGGGGGCTCCTGTACGCGTTTCCACCCTTACCTCTCCTTCCGGCGGTAGTACGCAAGATTCTGCGGGAAAGGGCCGAGGTAATCCTTGTGGCCCCTTATTGGCCAAGGAGACCTTGGTTCGCAGACTTGAGGAGTCTCTCCCGCACGAATCCATGGCGGATTCCTCCGGAGAGGATCTCCCTCAAGCAGGGGGAGATCTCCCACCCAGAGCCACAATGGCTACAACTAGCCGTCTGGCTCTTGAACGGTCAATTTTAGCCAAGGGGGCTTGCTCACAGGGTGTAATTAGGGTCATACAGGCATCAAGGCGCCCCTCCACGAACCGTATCTACGAGGCCACGTGGAGAAGCTTCCAATCATGGTGCTCTAAACAGGAATTGTTACTCGAAGGGATCACAATTCCCAAGATCCTAGAATTTTTACTAGATGGCCTAGAGAGGGACCTCTCGCCAAACACACTGCGCAGGCAAATCGCCGCCCTCTCAACTATACTTTCTGCCAGCCCCGGTGAATCCTTGGGCAAGCATCCCTTAATACGATCCTTCCTCAAGGGGGCTGCAAACATCAGACCGCCAACCGTGCACAGGTATCCATCGTGGGAACTACCACGAGTACTACAAGCTCTTACCAGAGCGCCCTTCGAACCACTCAAAACATGTGACATTCGCTATCTGACCCATAAGGTAGCATTCTTGGTAGCCATCACGTCAGCTCGGCGGATATCCGAGTTAGCTTCTCTCTCAATGAGGAAGGACCTGTGCCATTTTCACAGGGACAAGGTAGTCCTAAGAATAGACCCTTCATTCATTCCAAAGGTCAACTCCCTTTTTCACAGATCACAGGAAATAGTCCTACCAGACTTCTGTCCAAACCCAGCTCATCCCCTGGAACAACAATGGCACACCTTGGACGTACGCAGGGCACTAAGACATTACATTTCACGCACAGCGGAATTCCGACGCTCGGAAGCGCTTTTCATATCCTTCCACCCTGCTACTAGGGGCCGGAAGGTCTCGTCCTCTACCATCGGTAGGTGGATTAGGGCATGCATCACGGGGGCATACCAGGCGGAGTCCTTGCAAGTCCCCAAGCATATCACAGCCCATTCCACAAGGAGTGCTGCCACCTCAGCAGCATGGGCCATGCAGGCTTCTATTGAAGAGGTATGCAGGGCAGCCACTTGGGCCTCGCCCTCTCCATTCATTCGTCATTACAAAATCGACAGGTACTCCTCTGCAGAGGCCTCCTTCGGTAGGAGGGTTCTCCAGCAGGTGCTAGACCAAAGTTGCACACGGGACCAGTCTATTCCCCAACCCAAGGGACAATAGGCTTTGGTATGTCCCACTGCGTGGATTATCCATCTCCAGTGCTGGAGAAGGGGCGTTGACTTACCTGAACGCCTTTTCTCAGCACGGAGATGGATAATCCACACCCACCCTTATAGACTAGAATAATAGGGTATATTTAGTGGAGCCAAAACGTCTTACTGTCAGTCAATGGCTGCGCTCGAGTCAAGACTAAAGGATCATGGTCCAAGACGGGGCGTGGCAACTTTGGCTGACTGATCTGATTGGCCAGGAATACAGTCTCAACCCACTGCGTGGATTATCCATCTCCGTGCTGAGAAAAGGCGTTCAGGTAAGTCAACGCCCCTTTTTGGTCTTTGTACATCAGACATAGATTTCTAGCTCTGTAAAAATTGGTCTGCAGTGGGCAGACCATCTGATGGGATTGAATCCCCCTGCATAGATACACTTTAAATGAATGAAATCCCCTTACTTTTCTCTCAGTTCCTGAAAAAGAAGGTTTAGGTTTGGGTGTCTTAAACAACAGTCTCTTACCAAACCACTGAGTTTCAGAAATTTCTGAGATACACATGAACTACTGTCATTTCATTTTTTTTTAAATGAAACAAATTTCATACATGCATGTTTAGATCTTGTCTGCTGGATCTTAATTCTTTTCACATTAAAGATCTGTGAATAAATTTGGGTCAACTTTGAATGATAATAATTATTTTTTTTAAATAGATTCGCAACAGGCTTAATCAAGAACAGAATACTAAACTTCAGCAACAGAAAGAACTTTTGAACAAACGTAACATGGAAGTGGCTATGATGGACAAACGAATCAATGAGCTACGTGAGCGCCTGTACAAGAAAAAAGTTGAGGCACGTCAAAAAGAAAACATCCCTGTAAGATAAATTATTAAAAGGGCCACATTTCAGTGAATTCTGTAAAGCCCAATGAAATTCCATTTTTATACAGCTGTAGCATTCTAATATCTGGAAATATTCTTAAGTTAGTGAGAAATGTATAACTTTTTAAAATACCTATTCATACCACATGTGTGATTAAAATGTGTTATATACGCTGGCAAATCTGGTGTTTATTTTCAGTATTACATAAAAGATTGCAATAGTTGCAATACTGTGAAATACATGACAACTTAGAGAGAATGCTCTAATCTGAAAAGTACTAATTCTTGCACAGAATGCTCTTATAATTAGAACAGTAAAATAGATATTGTATTTACTTTTTTATTAAACGTACTTGCCATCCATCTTGCCAAAGGAAAAATGATCTCCTCCTTCTCTCTTGATTTTCCTATCAGCTATCTATTAATATTTCTAGCCACATTCTTGTTGCTTAAAATCAATAGAATGTGAGCGGGAAACCTCTGACCATCTCTATCAGGGGTGACAAACTGGTGGCCCGCAGGCGGGATGTATCACGCGCAAACTACTCCCACCCCCACTCCGCAAAGGCAAAAAATGTGATACGTCATGTGATGTAATCGAGTTTGATATCCATGAACTATATCTTGCTGAACCACAATTTGCAGAACCTTCAGCTGTTGTGGCAATCATGAGAGAAATCTGTCAGGCGTGCTTTTATAACATATGAAAGGCTACAGTTTCTTCAAATTTTCAAATGAAGAAAATGGATCATATCTGAGATAATGTCTGATCATTCTTTTTATATTGAAGTAGACAGTGAATGATTTAAGATTTCCAGAATTGAAGGCATTAATATTAAGAAATAGAAATTCTAAAGATGTGCCTGCCTTTATCATAAAATCATTGCTAAAAACATGCTATCCAATAAGATTGAGATGAAGGAAGTGGAGTAGATGGCACTAATTACTTTTGAGCTTCAATGAAGCAATTCTAGCTTTTGTTTATTTTTAAAAATGCATATTAACCCAACTTTTGATTTGTTATTTTTTTAGTTAAACCGAATAAATGGAACGTCCTCCCCACAGTCATCATTGAATGCTTCAGGCAGAGTTGCAGCAGTTGGGCCATACATTCAGGTTCCTAGCTCCAACAACTATGCTGTACCACTTGACCCAGTAAAACCACAGTCCCTCACAATTACTACTAGCACAACTCATGGAAGGTCGAAATCTGGTAAGTAGCTCTTATTGATTCTATTTGTTTTGTGCAGAGGGAGATGATAAAGGAGTATTTCTTTGAGATGGCCCTCTATCTCATGGGATAAAATATTGAAATAAAACAAAATGGCTCCTGCAACTTTCTTTGATTTTAATAATCTTGAGATAAATATCTCTGTCTCATATTTCTATTTGGTATCCCTATGGATTTTCTAGATGTGCAGTATTATGCAATTCTGCTATGAAAAGTTAATTGCAAGAAGCATAGAATTAAAAAGTTATAAGATGAATATTTTTTTCAAAAACAGTAAGATTGATCTTCAATTATGTCTATATTTATACATAAGCTTTTTTTTGAAAGTTAACTTTTTTCTCCAGCAAATCAAAAACAATTTCTGTAAAGATTATATATTAAGTATATAAAACAGGTTTATTCAGAATATATCAAATGTCACATTTTTGTTCGTGTAATTTCTGGGGTGGGATTGTTTTTTTTTTCTTTTTACCTATCACTTATCATTTATTTTTGAATTTTTATCCATAACCTGTTCTTTCTTTTCTTTTTATTTGTGAGTATATCTAGTTATTTACTGTACAAACTATAGGTATGGTAGACAAACTCCAGGACTATGGAAGATTTCTGATTTAAACATTATAATTGTATTGTATTCTCTTATCTCTTCAATCTGCTACACACGATATTCACTCAGCACCTATTTGTTCTAAAATTTTGCATTGTGAATTTGTAAATTATTGACAAATTAAGAAATTCTAATTTTAATATGGATATGTGAAATTTTATATACAGATACATGTTAAACAGAAAAGAATGTTTAGAGGTTTTGTAATATCCAACTGTGTATTTTAGATAAATGTGTATATGAGTTTTTGGGAGGAGGAAAGAAAAAAGAATGATTCAGACATTTCAGTGATTAGCAAATTTTAATACTCTCTTTATATATCTAGAAGAAACAGAATAGCTTGTTAACATTAACTGTGATTCAACTTTCAAAATACTGGGGTAATCTCTGTTTCCAAAGAAACATGAATGCATGTGTTGTTCATCTCAAAAAGTGCTTTTTCAAAAGGCAAGTGGACTGTTTTTTCCTTGAGGAAGAAGGAAACAAAATGTTTTGTTCTTCTTCCTCAAGGAAAAAAAGGCCAGTTGCCTTTTGAAAAAGCACTTTTGAGACACTTTTGGGACCTGGATGATTGAGATCTCCATAGACATGCATTGTTCATCCTACCTTTACTTATATTCTCTGCTGTGTTCAAGCTAAACAAATGATATAATTTTAGGAATGTTTTAAACTAATATTTTTGTAAACCCTAGATGTCTTTCTAACTAGAATAGTTTGGGGATTTTTTTAAAAAAAATAATTAAATCAGGAATAAAAGAAAGTTCACACTTCCATTCTTGATCTCAGTTATGAATTCCACTGGTAGTTTCAGAAAGCAGGTCACCCATACCAAGGGCAAAGAAAAATAAAGTTTTCAAATAAAATTTGAGTTTTTTTGGAAGCAGTGCAAAAGGGTTCTGTCACTGTCTTCTAGGATATTTTCTCAACTTCTTAATCTAGTTATAACCATTAGAATTTCTGATGGTGTCTTCTAATCTAGTAATAACCAAGTTTTAACTTTTTAAGGTTGGCCATCTGTTGCCATATAACTGGGCACCAATAGGGCAAACTATTTTTCAAACTGAAGAGGCTTTGAAACTGCGTTGTCTTAGGTTTATTCTGTGTGACTATGTGCATATGTCTCACCTGTTATGTGTCAATCGTCCCATTGACACATAACAGGCTCTTTAGGATGACCAAGAGTGTAGCTTTATTGAAAAATCCATCTAGGCACAGCAGAAGCAAAGTCAGTTCTGGGAGTTTCCTGCAAATGCCCACATAGGTAAAACCTCTTTTTCCCCTCCAGGCCACTCACAGTTTATAGTTTACCAATTGAGTTCAGTTCTTTTGTTTTGGGGGAAACTGTGCCACTCAAACATTCTTCATAACTTGACCTTGGCGGATAACGTCTTGCTGGCAACAGAAGGCTCTCGTGCATTCCACAGCCTCCCCCTTCCCTTGGGAATTCACCACCCTCCTCCTATCACTGGCAAACTGCAAGCGAAGGCAGGCGCAGGCAACTATGGAGTCAAGTTTGACATTATGAAAATGAGGAAAAAAATCTCATAACTATTACTTTAATTTTTTTCATATAATTAAATTAAAACCTAGAACTACACCAGTATACCGCTTGTATTTGAATATATTGGATATTATGCTCTGTAGCTTATAGAATGCAGAAATAACTGACTCGATTCATCTTTTAACATTCAGTCATTTTTTGCAGTAGGTATTCTGCTCTTGTGTTTTGCTAATAGGTAAAAAAGCCAGAATTCTGCCTTGTCTCTATTCTACATTTTAATATATATTCTGATATTAAATTGACTATGAAACTTTCCAAGACAGATTTTAAGCTATAGATTTGAGGTCACTTTTTTTAGATATGTGTCTAAATTAAAGCAATCTTGTCAGCATAATGTATTTATATTTCTTATATACATTCATATACAGTATTTGCCTCCAGAAATTGATTTCAAGATGGCTTATAATCCTACATGGGATTTTTTTACATGTGAAAAAAGTTCTTTAAATATGGAACACATTTTGGCTGCTGCGTCAGCTATGATTTAAAAACCACAACATTTCCTCATATTAGGCAAGCAGGCATGAAGTCAATGTGGTTGTTGTTGTAATGGTGGGGTGGGGGGGGTTGAGTGGGTAGAGAAAGTTGATTTTCTGATTCTTTGTACTACTAGATGATGGTAATAGGTGGTCATGGACAGTATCAGACCTTGATGTCAGACCTGAATACAGCTCTACATGGTATCCAAGAAACAAAACTAATCAGTTTTGGAAATGTATGTTTTACAAATCATAATATATTTAAACCAAATATATCCTTCAATGATTTTAATTCTCCAATCAAAAATCAAGTCATTTTATTCACAACTGATTACTTTTCAGCATGCTAAATTTAAAGATAAATCTATAACATTTAAAATTCTAATATAGATTTTAATATATTGTTATTCCATTTTTTGCATTCTAGTCAGCTTCTTGAAAGGTTTATATTTCTGAGAAGATATTTAATTAAAATAAGATTATTTAGTAATTGATAATATAAACATTGGGTGATTGAGTAGAGGATCACAAAATGGATATTTAATGACATTGAAAATCATGCTCGTGCATGTGTATGGGAGAGAAATGTAGTTATTGTTAATTTATCAAAACTATAAGAAAATACATATTTTAATGGTATAGAATTTCTCTGCAGTAATGCTACATTCTCATTTATTAACTAAAAAGTGTGGCTTATTGCAGCTTTAATTTAAATAAGTTAAATTAAGACACAGAATGGTATATTCTAAGTTTCATCTTCAGCAGAATGTTTTCCTGGAATTCATGTACAGTAGCATGAATACGTTTGTGAGCAACGGTGAATATGGGAGTTGCTTGTTTTTAGAATAGAATGTTTACTCCAAACATACCTTTCAATCTGTGTGTGTGTGTGTCTTGCACAAGCTGAGTATAAGGATCTACTGTTTCTTCTGCTTCTTTGCACAATCAGTCTTTTTTCTCCTTAGTAATATAATAAGTTATTAAACTTGCATGATGCTGATTCGGGCACTCACAACAATCAAAGACATTACAGTAAAACTGATAAAAGATAAAGATAGAAGTTAAACATGGCAAGTGTGACAGACAGATGGAACGAAGCAAGAGGTCTCATTCTCTCCTTCCCCCAAAGGTCTGAGTAAAGAGCTGGGCCTTCATGGCTCTTCTAATAACATCCTAAGACTGACAAAGGACCAATTCACAACTGTAATTTGTAACAATGAACCCGAAAAATTATATGAATCAACTTAAATTCAGTTTAATTAACATTATTTAATAATAATACTAAATTAAAGGATATTAAAGGGTTATTTGGAGCAGATAGCCTACAACAATTCTATCACATGCTATTAGTTGTTGAAATCCTCTCCTAAACATTTACAATTAAAAAGGAGAGTCTTTTATATTTGACTACACCATGACTTGCTACTCCTACATGAGTATTGTATTACATGTAATTAATTACATTTTGGGGAAATCCTTTAAAAATTCTTGCAATTACTATTTTATTAGATTCAATTTAGATTCCATGAACGGAATTTTTTTCTTTTTTCTCTTCTCAACACAAAATCATGATTAAAAAAATTAGGGAGCTCTGCTTTTAGCCTATTGAACTAAAAATAGGTAGAAATTTAAAGCAGAAATTCTTAATGAACTTAATATGCTTAGACATTTTTAATGCCATTAAATATTTTGATAATTCTGTTGTAAGTAATTTCTAACTGTAGAATTAATGTCATGGCCTTATTTAAATTGCACCCTTAAGCAAGCAAAAATTGCGCAATTCATTGGGCAAAAGCACTGATTATAAATGCATTAACTATTTTGCCCCTTTCAAGAAATGACCCTAGGAGAGAATTTCAATGTGTATAGCTGATTATGATAGAATTGCTTTTTATCAGCTATTAATATGCTTCAGAAACTGTGTCTTCTGAATGTAGCCATTTTAAATAGGTAGTTATTTTGACATGAATATGTTTATAACCTCTTGTAATTTGATCATGGTATGGAATAGAACAGTGCATAAATAATGAACCTTTAGAATTAAAAGTACACCTGTTTTTGACTTCTCTATTATTACTTTTATTTCCTTAATGTACCGGTAATTTTTTTCTAGATCTATTTGATTTATTCTACAAGCAGATCTTTAATGAAATATTTTCCTTTCTTTCAAGCTAATGATGGAACATGGCCTGCACTTAAACAAACTGCTGTGGTAAAACCACCACAACTCTCTAATACAGACTGGAAGGAATCAAACATGGATGCAAGTTTAAAACAAGGAACTATATCCAGTCAACCTTTGTCATCTTCAGGATTAGGAAGTACTGATAAACTGGTGGGTTTTTCCTTCCTTCCTTCCTTCCTTCCTTCCTTCCTTCCTTCCTTCCCCTCCCACCCTGCCTCCCTCCCTCCCTTTTGCTTCACATAATATTAAAAATTTCATTGCTTGTACAACTTGCTACAGAATCTCTATACAACTCATTTGTTAAAATGTTATACTATGGAGCTCCTTGGCAAAATTTTATGCATCTTGTCATTAGATTTATATTTCAGTTACCTAGTTTTCAGTGTGGAATAGAGCAGTCTAACCAGGCTTTTAAAACGTTTTTTTCCTAGAGTCTTGATGTGGGCAAAATGCCACCAACTATTCCTGGTGTAAATAAACAATTGCCTCAAAACTATGGGACCTATCCAAGCTCTGTTCCTTCAGGACCAGGCTCCACTAATTCCTTGGAAAGACGAAAAGATGGCAGCCTGCCAAGGCCTAGTTCTACAGCAGTGAACCGGCAAAGACCTATTCCTTTACCACCCACAAGTGGCATTCACCAACCAGGTTCTTCACAGCAGATACAGCAGAGAATATCTGTGCCTCCAAGTCCAACATACCAACCTTCTAATGCACCATTATTTCCAGGCGGTGATAGCAGGCCTGATCTCCCTTTAACAGTGGCCATTAGGCCTTTCTTAGCTGAAAAAGGTTCAAGACCCCAGTCTCCTAGGAAAGGGCCTCAAACTGTGAATTCGAGTTCCATATATTCAGTCTATCTGCAGCAAGCAACTCCACCAAAGAACTATCAACAAGCTGTGTATAGTACGCTAAATAAGTCAGTTAAAGCAGGTAGAATAATTTTATGCTACTTTTTTTGGCTATGCTTTAGAAGTTGCAACCCTTTAGGAATCAGACTTGGTTTGTTTAACAGTTTAATAATTGTGGACAGTGATTCTGAGAAGTATATCAAAAAGAGATAAGAAGATATGCATGTATGTCTGTATATAGTGGGGTCCTTGGTTCTCTCTGAGCTTGATTGTTTCCTTGTAGACATTTTCAAACTAAGTAACATTTTTAAATTTATTTGTATCTCACCTTTATTATTTTTACAAATAACTCAAAGCAGCAAACATATCCACACAACTGTGTGAGGTGAGTTTGGCTAAGAGAGAAAGTCACCCAGCTGGCTTTTATGCCTGAGGTGGGACTAGAACTCAAGTCTCCTGCTTTCGAGCCTGGTGTCTTAACCCAAGGGTCTTCAAACTTGGCTCTTTTATGACTTGTGGACTTCAACTCCCGGAATTCCTTAGCCAGCGTGCCTGGCTGAGGAATTCTGGGAGTTGAAGTCCACAAGTCATAAAAGGGCCAAGTTTGAAGACGCCTGCCTTAACCACTAGATTGGCTCTATTAGTGCTAGTAGGGACTGGAGTTTGTTCTTATTTCAGTGTATGAATATATGAAATAAAAGGACATTTTAATGTCTCTGTATATATAAAAAGCCTTGGTGAGACTTAGTTTAGTTTAAAAGAGGATAAAAAGGAAGATCTAGAATGATAATAGAACTAGGATTAAAATATATCTTGACCCTCAAGGGGAGAAAATAAATGATTAATTTTTTAATTTCTCTCATTCACACTTCTAAAAAGCACTTAACCTTTGGTGTGATTGTTTGTTGTGATTCCTGTTTAAAATATGTCTTATTTCTGTTTATGTGCCTGTTGCAGGGGGCTAAAATAAATCAAACATGGGAAATAATCAGACATGTTTGGCCTTATAATTTCTTTCTCTTCAGGATACTTCAATTTCTGAAGATTTTAGAAGGGATTGGAGAGTTATATATGTATATTGGAAAATGTTACAAAGTCAACCACTGGCATAAGTAATTTTGATTTTTTTTCATTTAAAATTATATATAATTCTATTTTACTTTTAACTGTCCCTCTCTTGCCTTCTCTTCTCAGTCTATGGGAAACCTGTTGTACAGTCTGGCTCAACATCTCCTTCACCACTTCCCTTCCTTCAAGGATCTTTGCCTGCCAGTACATCACAGTCTCAAGCACCAAATGATACGAATGAAAAAGATCAAGAGCAGGAAGTCACTCCATCCTCTGGTGATAACAGTAATGTAGAAAACATTCCTCGTCCTCTCAGTCCAACAAAGCTCACTCCTATTGTTCATTCACCCCTTCGTTACCAAAGTGATGCTGATCTTGAAGCTCTTCGCAGGAAACTTGCCAATGCTCCTAGGCCTTTGAAGAAGCGAAGTTCTATCACAGAGCCAGAGGGCCCCAGTGGACCAAATATTCAAAAACTCTTATACCAGCGCTTTAATACCTTGGCAGGAGGAATAGAAAGTGCCCCTTTTTATGAGCCAAGTAACTCGCAAGATTTCATCGGTACCTTGGCAGATGTTGATAATGGAAATATGAACACTAATGGCAATATTGAGGATCCAGTTTCAGTACCTTCTACAGTTCCTCTTTCTGATGAGCCTTCATCAGATGCTAACGACAATGAACTACCTTCTCCTGCAACTGAGGAGTTGATCAGTGTAGAAACTATAAATCAAATTCCTGAGACAACTGAGGATGACAACAACAACAACCCTGCTGTGGCTCCTCCTGTTGAGCGGCCTCCTAGTCCAATACCCATGGGCAGATCCCCAGATGACGAAGAAGTGCAGGTGCTACCTGTTCTTCCTCCTACACCTCTGCTTCCTGTGGTAAGTTACAGCAAAACAGGAATAACATATTTAAAACCATATTTTTAATAAATGTGTTTTTAATTTGTCAATGCCATATGTCCTTTTTATAGCAAACTTCTCCAGTGGTGACTTAACATGTGACTTGGAAGGCTGAAAGGATATTTCATCAGTCAAATAATGTTGGCTTGCTACAGCTTAACAATATTCCTATTTTGGCATCCTTAAATAGGTTGACAGGAAGTCTAGCAGTTTGCTGATGAGCCGTATCTGTCTTTTATGAGTTATAAATTAGAGGCCATACTTCAAAACTTTCTGTTGTGGGTTTATGGCCAACAAAGTGGGTCACCAATAACTCAACACATTTTTAAGCAGGAGAGAGAGAGAAATATAATGAAAAGCTGAGTCTCTCTGTAGTGGTTGAAGATTATTAACATCCTAGAATAGCCCAAGTAGATTTTCAGTTGTATTGAGAAAATATGGTAATGATTTTATACATACTTAAAAGAAGGTAAAGATTAAGTTGGAATACATCTTTTATTTGTTCTTCCTTGTGTTCATTTCTAGCCTCTGGCAGATTAGAAATGAAAATTGAATCTTAATTAGCTCATGGATAATGAGATAGTGAGTTGAGCAGTATATAAATTTAATAATGAAGAATGAGATAGCTCTGGATAGCGATATATATATACATTTAATATATTTAATGATATATAAATTTAATAAATACATAAAATTTGGATTTCAATAAGTTGAATATTATCACAATAAAGTAATTTAAAGATAACTCTCACGATGTTGTTCAGGCGAAAAGGACCAACCTGAAGAAACCAGACTCAGAGAGAACTGGTCATACCTTGAGGGTAAAATTCAATCCCTTGGCCCTGCTGTTGGATGCCTCACTAGAGGGAGAATTTGATCTAGTGCAAAGGATCATATATGAGGTAAGCTTGGAAATAGGATCAAATTCATCAGTTTTGTTTAATAAATAAACAAATGTATGTTTCATGTAGTCATGCCTGTTTTTTGCCCTAGGTGGATGATCCCAGCAAACCTAATGATGAAGGAATCACCCCCCTGCACAATGCAGTTTGTGCTGGCCATCACCACATAGTTAAATTTTTGTTGGATTTTGGGGTCAACGTTAATGCAGCAGACAGTGATGGATGGTATGGTATTAATAAGGTGTATTAATAACCCTTCTAACAATTGGAGAAGAAAAACTAGCAGCCAGATGCTAGTTGGTTTCATCTTAACATATATGTTTATATCCTTTATTTCCTTTATTTATATTGATTTTCCAATACCTTCTTTGTTTCAGGACGCCTTTGCATTGTGCTGCCAGTTGCAACAGTGTTCACCTCTGTAAGTTACTTGTTGAATCTGGAGCAGCAATTTTTGCTTCAACTATAAGTGATATAGAAACTGCAGCAGATAAATGTGAGGAGATGGAAGAAGGATATATTCAGTGTTCCCAGTTCCTATATGGTAGGTTTCATGTTTCCCTGTAGAATTTGAAGATTCGTAACTTAATAATGTATCTTCTTAGCTCATTTCAAGATCTATATTAGTATTTACATTATTACAAAAATTATTTATTTTGAATATTTGCACACATAAGACATAAATTTTCATGAACAGTACTCACTCTTATCTGAATTTGATTCTGTAAATGGAGAAATGAAAAACCTAAGTTCACTTGCCATCTGTCCCAATCTGTGCCCTTTAGATGTTAAGAGTGCAGTACAACCCTCACAATATTGTCAGATGAAGAAAACTTTTGTTTAGATTGGTCGCTGTAACAGTTGGTAGGAATAATAGTTCCTCTTCCTTTGCTCAGTACTTTGACTGGTGTTCAAGATTTCAGGTACTTGCCACTTTAAAATATCACCTTTACATAGTATGGCCAGTGAATAGACAGGATTTAATTCTCTCAAAGAAAATGTGTGTATGCAAGTATTATGTCAGTATGTAAGAGGGCTTAAATGAGAATGGAGAGATTATAAAGCAGATGGATATATTATTTTCCCATATTCATTTCTATCTTTGAGGGAGTTTGGCTATTAAGAAACAGGAAATATAGTCTTTTTATTAGAAATGAGATCTGATGAGATCTGATTTTAGGAGACATTTACTTTTTTGCTCTCATCACTGGGCTGTATTTTTAAGACTTATCTGGGCTAGAAACAGCTGCATCAAAGAAAAGATCATTGGAATTTACTTCTCCAATCAATAGGAATTTCTTCTCTGGGCACCAAAGTATTTCCACTATATAATACAAATATGCACTAATCATACCAAGTAGTAAGGGAAGAGGTGGGTTCTTTAGAGCAGCGGTCCCCAATCTTTCCACCTCTGTGGACCAGTGGAGATGGCGGGAGGGGGAAAGACAGGATGGTTCCGCACAAATGTGTGCACCCACTGCTTGCACAAATGGAGTGTCATGCGCTTATCCACTCGCCTTTTTTTTCTTTTTTTTCCTGTTACGCAACAAGTGCTCTTGATTTCTTAGCAATTTTTGATACTATCAATCACAATATCCTTCTGGACCAACTGCAGGGGTTCCAGTGGGTATTGAGGGAATACCCTTAGCCCTTCACATGTGGGGATACTTTCCCCTCCCTTCCCCTGTTTAACATCTACATAAAGCCACTGGATAAGAGCATCTGCCATTTTGGGGTTCAATATTACTTAGCTCTACGTCTCAACTTTGAGATGCATAGTTGAAGCTATCAGTGTACTCAGTTTCTGGAAGCTGATCAGGTCTGGAAGGGGGAGAATAGACTTCATTCAATCCTGGTAAGACATAGTGACCATTATTGATATTGGCTGGAGCTGCATTTCTCCGTTCAAGACTGGTGTGCAACTTAGGGTCCTTCTGAAATTATAAATACTGTTCAAGTAGCAGGTGGCAGCTCTGGCCAGGGCTTTTGCACAGGTCTATCTTGTGTGCCCACTGTGCTCCTTCCTTACATGGCAGGCCCTTCTGATAGTTATTCGTGCCATGATCACCTCACAAATGGATTATTGCAATGTAATCATGGGGCTGTGTTTGAAGATCAGCTGGAAATTACAGCTGCTTCAAATATGGAATAGGATGTAAATATCTGAAAGAATGCTTGTCTCCATTTCTGCACAATTAGGATATTTCAGCAGAGTGGTTGTGTTCCAGGTCCCCTACATTAAACTTCCTCTTCTTGAGGGCCAAAGGAAACAAGATATCAATTTTTAAAAATGATTTTTATTGTTTATTTTTTTACTGCCCAGAGTCAGTTGGAGTTTATACCCCACCCAGAGTCCATTGGATATTTTGCTGATATTTTTACTGATGAAGCAGTGAAGTAGGGATAGGTTATAATTATGCAAACTTTACATTTTTGTTCCTCCTGGCCAGAAGCAAGGGATTAAATTTTAATTTCATAATTGAAATTATACAGTTTTTAATTTCAAATTGTTCTTTTGTTAAAACATTTGTTAACAGGTGTACAGGAGAAGTTAGGAGTCATGAACAAAGGCATAGTTTATGCCCTGTGGGATTATGAAGCTCAGAACAACGATGAGTTGTCATTTCATGAAGGAGATGCACTTACAATTTTGCGACGCAAAGATGACAATGAGACAGACTGGTGGTGGGCTCGGCTCAATGACAAGGAAGGCTATGTGCCTAAAAATCTCTTGGGGGTAAGTATGATACATATTTTATCCTAAGTTGTGACATAGTGCCCAGGCTGAATATATGATTGTTCATACCAAAGCCATTACAAATTATAGTATTTATTTTGAAAAAGGAATAACCACATTAGAAACCATTAACACCAATGATTAATCTACACCTTTATATGTATTTTGCTTCACCTTCTAATAGCTTGAAATAGTTATCATAAAGCCTACCATTAGAAAATAAGTACATGTGCAATTACCATAGTGTAAGAGTAATCCATATGAAGGGCTAGGGAATCCTGGTCAGTGGAAGGAAGCTTTCAGTTCTTCAATCATGGTTTCTATGAACCATATAGTTCTCCCCAATCTCAGGAGTTTTTGCTTTTAAATAATCAGAATAGTAATATATCCATGCAATAATCTCATGCATACTTTATTTTATTCTTTCTTACATTTGTTACTAAAGAAGATGCTAAGAGCATCAGGACCTTTTTTGCAAGGTGTTAAGTGAACCAACCATATGCTAGGGGCCAGTTTTGCAAAAACCCATAATAAAATGCAGTCACATGACCATGAGGCACTGCAAATGGCCCCTTGCCTAGTGCCCCAAATGCAGCCATGTGACACACACACACCTGCCATCCGATTCAGATTGTAAGTACCCTGGAGAGGTCACTAAGAAACCAGTTGTAAGTCCAGAACTGCTTGTAGTAGACTTCTATAAACATTGCCAGTCTTTTTTGATCACATCTGATACAATAGGTCCTCTCATCCAACAATTACACTTTGGAAGTTTGTGTTGACGACCATAGATTCTTAGACTAGTTACTAAACCATTTTCCTCAAAACTCATTCTTTCTTTCTCTTAGTTCAAGATATAACTGTGCAAAATTGGTGATTAATGGTTCTCAGGCTACTTTGCAGATTTAGCTGCAGATGACTTTTTTTGTTTATAAGTTGTTTGGCCACTCAAAAGGGAGGGATTTTTTTGTCCCTGACAAAGGCTTGAAAAAGATGTCAGCTGTCATACTATGGCAGAGCAAAAAGAAAAGAAAGATAAGGCCCATGGTTTGCTCCAGAAATTTCTGTGGTGATCCTAGAAAAAAGCAATTAGCAAGAATTATGCATATATATGCAGATGTTTATGGGAGAAAGACTCAAGCCAAAGTTTATTAAAGCTTTCAAAGGTTTTGATCAGAGCTCTGCATGGGTACAGAGTTTATGTGAATTCACTGATGACCACTTGAATATCTAAGTTGCAAGTAGATAACTGATTATTTTCAGGAGTTTGGAGAAATAATTAGAAGTAAAAACTGCTAATACTGATTGCACTTTAAATCCAGAAAATGACTGTGAATATAAGTTTCACATGGGAAAATGGATATTCTATACCTTGGCTCCCCCTCCCTTCTTTTTAATGAAAATTTGTGCTTTCTGTACAAAAGCCAGAACCCATTAACTTTAGTTCACTGCACTATTCAGTGTTTCTTCTGATATCAGGCAAACCTGACAAGAACAGCATTCCTTAGATATTAGTAACTTATAGTAGCATTTGAAACATTCTAAAGTAAAAGTCAATTAATAAATTTATGATGTACTAGCTATTTCTCTTCGCATTACTTTAAGTAAACCAAGATATACAGTACATATTTTATATAGTAACAAGTGATTTTATTTCTGTAAAAAAGCCAAGAAGTATTTTTCATCTCCTCATACCCATTTTTTTATAATGCTTCAGAATTTCTAGAAATATTACAGCTTTGTCCTTACATGCTCATCATTCTTTTGCACTTTAAAGTTTACTTCCAATTTCATGTTATTGCAGTTATACCCAAGGATAAAACCAAGACAGCGAACACTTGCCTGAATCACTTGATTTGTCAATATTTTTTTCTGGGAACTGAAAGATGGAAAGTATACACTGGAGACATTTGCAATTACATTTCACCACAAATTAAAGCTATTCTTGTTTTAAATGGTGCTCTTGTTTAATATGATAGACAGCATTTGAGATTTTCGATCTGCAGTTTTGTAAGTGAGGTCTGCTCCATATTAATATGCCAATCATTGAGAGAGGTACTCAAACAGTCTACAGTATTTTTTGCCAATTGAATTAAAAGTGCTAGATGTTAAAACCTTTGTAAAATGCAGATATGCTGTCTACTCTGTCATAGTTCACTGTAGCTGCCCTGTTATGTCAAGAACATTACAATTAAAATATTCAATTGAATGTTGATTTTAATGTGTAAATCCTTAAAGATCTTGTAAGAGTTGACAAGTTGAGAGTAATGAACAATCTTCTGATATAAAAGGTGTTTCTGACAGGACAGAGAAGCATTTATCCTGAATAGATTTTGCACACTTCTAAAAACTGCACTTGTTCCTTCACTTGATGTTTCTGCTTAATATTCTGCTTACAGTACAAATTTATCTTCCCAATATTCTATTACCATTCCTCAAACACATCCTGACTTCTATTTCCTTGACAATCCTGATTTAAGGAACTTGTATGTCTTATGAAAGAAAAGTGCAATAGTTGGAAATGGTAAGAGGTAGGTTATAAAAGCTAGAAGATTTACTTTAAGGACATTTAAATTTTATTTGTGAAAGTAGGAAGGTGATTAAAAGGTTGAATAAAAAGACATGTTGGTTCAATAGACTGAGGCTGAGAAAGGAGAGACGGTTTACTTTTTGGACTGAAATAGTATCTGTGATTCTAGTGACCCTGCTTACCAGGGTGTGATATGCAATAAACCCAGTATCTACTTTCAAGCGAAGAAGCACTTCACTGGAATACTAATTGTACATGGTTTTATATGCAGAAGTCTATTTTGAATTTCCCATTATGTTGTAACCATGCTTGTTTTTTTGCCAGTAAATTCTAGACCAATTGGCTTTATTCATTATACATTGTGCATAATTTATAACCATTCCTGCAGTGCTGTGACTTGCTTTTATTATTGTTTAGCATCAATTGTATATATTGTGTGATGAGAAGTGAAAGGGTATTGTAAAAGAATATTTGCTAAATGAAATTAAAAGTTAAAAGCCTGCAATACACTGCTAATCCAGTGTGCACAATAAACTACTACTAAGATATTGTTGACATTTTGGGTGTTTGTTTTTAACATGTATGATTTTTCTTAAAGTCATTTATGAAATTTTCATACAACACATATTACATGTGTTATGCTGTTATATATTCTCTGAATGTCCTTGAGAATAATGTGCTAAATCAAGTCTTCAAACAGAATTCTTTAGAAACTTTCTGTATTTGTATTTATCTTTTACAGTTTTCCTGCTTAATTTGTACTTGATTTCATATCAAGTTCAAATTGACAACACCAATCTGCATATTACTTAAATGAATTCTCAGTAGTGCTACATCAGACAAGCTTACATAGTATTTAATAAGATTTTATTAGCCAAATCTCAAATTATCACAAAACATGTCTATAAAATCTCAAAAACAATTTTGCTGACAGTTTCATTCAAAAAGGCCAATTTATACAGCACTATTTGTAGTATTTGGTAAATCTTAATTTTACAACAAAAAAAAACTTTAATCTCATGATACAAACCCCTCACCAGAAGACAGGGAGATTCTATATAAAATAATACCTAAGGTGGATTTGATAGATCATCTGGGGGCGGGGGGAAACCTGAGATCTACATTTCTGAAGAATTTTTTTCTGGAACAGTGAGGATTGGTTTTAAGTGAATTACATAATTTTCATTATAAAAGTTGTGCTATATATTTAGCAATAGTGCAGGTCACACTTCATTTTACATATTAAGTGCAGATAAGATTTAACAAAATAAAGTCGTAGATGCAGACTTGCAGTGGTCTGTTTAAAGCATTAATACACTGTATACATATTGCACACTAAATAAGTGAATACTTATAGGTCCAAATACTCACATTATAATTGGCCAGTGCTCACATGATGAACCACATTTAATGTAGGAAAGGAGGAAGGAAAATCCCTATACCATGTGTAAATAGCAAGTAGTAAGCTTATTTTTAGAGCAAATCTTTTCCCTCAATTCCAAAATACTCCCTATTGATCCCGAGATTCATAAAGAAGTTTTGCTGCCTGTAAGATGACAAAAAAGGAAGAATAACATATGAATTGTCATTTTCTGAAGCTACTGGAATTGCACATGCAATTCAGCACTGGGGCTGAATTATTTCTGAATGCATTCAAATTGTTATAATAGAAGAAAAACACAAAGCAAGATATTTTAAATGTTAAGATTCTGATTCATCAAATGGCACATGGAAAATTTTGTAGAATTTCATAAGATAAATAGTAATAGTAGTAAAGTTGGAAGGGACCTTGGAGGTCATCTAGTCCAACCCCCTGCTCAGGAAGGAAACCCTACACCATTTCGGACAAATGGCTGTCCAATCTCTTCTTAAAAACTTCCAGTGTTTATTTTATTTTATTTATTTATGAGACTTATATACCGCTTTAAGTGCAAGCACTCTCTAAGCGGTGTACACCAGTAAGCAATGTATATATATATTTACATTGCCCCCAACAATCTGGGTCCTCATTTTACCTACCTCGGAAGGATGGAAGGCTGAGTCAACCTTGAGCCGGTGAGATTTGAACCACTGACCTGCTAAACACAGTCAGCTAAAGTGGCCTGCAGTACTGCACTCTAACTGCTGCGCCACCTCGGCTCGGTTGGGGCATTTACTGCTTCTGGAGGTAGGCTGTTCCACTGATTAATTGTTCTTATTGTCAGGAAGTTTCTCCTTAGTTCTAGGTTGCTTCTCTCCTTGATTAGTTTCCACCCGTTGCTTCTTGTCCTGCCTTCAGGTGCTTTGGAAAATAGCTTAATTCCCTCTTCTTTATGGGCAGCCCCATAATTATGATTCTCTTTATATGAAAATCTGTACACAAACATTTATGTTGGTTTATGGCCATAATACAGATAGTCCTCAACTTATTACCATAATTGGAACCAAAATTTCAATCTTAGTCACTGCAGTTGTAGGTCGAGACTAGACCCATCTTTTTACATTTTTTTGCAAGCCATTAAGCTAAACAGCAGCAGTTAAACAGATAAAAAAAGATTGCAAATCATGGTAAGATGACTTCAAGGCACTGCAACAAAGGCAAACCAGTTGCCAAATGCCAAAAATGTGGTCACATGACTGTGGGAGGATATTGTGACATTTTACAGCAGCTAGAACTGCCTAAATACCATGGATTAGGTTAACAATGGCAAACAGGATTGCAAACACTGCCAGCCTAAATGATGCAGTCATGTTGTATGACCACATTATTAACAATGGAAATTCTGGTCTCTGTTGCTGTCATAAGTCAAAGACTACCTCAACTTAGTATTTGACTAATAGTCTTTGGTAGCTAAACATCACTCTTCTAAAAGATGTGGTTTTGATTACAATGGCATACCTGCCATCCTGACTCTGAACTTCAGTGGATTCTCCCAGTAGAAGAGACCATTGCTAACACCATGTTTCTTGCCAATTTCCTATTGGCATTTTGGATGCTGATAACTGAACAGTGGATTAGGTTTATCTAAAAGTACTCTTATAGGCGTTTAAGGCATAATTTAATTAACAATTGCTTTAGTTACCTTATGCATTGCTGCTAGCCAGGTAGCTGCTAGCTTTTTATTGGAATTGAAATCTTCACCAGCAGTAAATTTAATCTGTTTGAATTCATCTGATCCTGGTATTTTGTACTGAAGTAGCATACCTGTAGCACGAGTATTGCCTCCTAAGGGAAAACAAATAAGGGAAAAATACTTTATTTGTTACAAATACAAAGGACTGTACCAAACCATAGCTGCTTTTTTTTTTTTTGACAGAATGGATTCTATCACCAGAAAAATTACACATCCCAAAATGCAATCCAAACTTTTGAGTAAATCTCTGAACCAGACTTAGAGAAAGGAGAACAAGACGAAATTCCATTATGCAAGTGGAAGTTTACTCAAGTGGTGTTAGATGTAATCCAGATTTACACTCCAAAGCAAATACAGCTTTATCCCTACAATAGTAGCTGGTTAACTTTTCATATCTTTCTAACCCCAGTCACTGATAAATACAGGAAAGAATATGGAGTAATGGATTAAACTCTAGGTTGCATAGTCACATCAAGAAATAATGATATGGAGAAAGCCACATGCAAAACATCTATGGCTGAGCAAGTATTCAGACTGGGTAGCTTTGAGGTTACAAGACAAATGTCTAACCGAACTAGTGTTTTTAAAGGCCTCATATTCAAGAGTACATGTGAAGAATGTGCATTACACAAGACTTTTATTTGGATGATGTATGCTCAAACAAAACAAAACTATGCCCTTGAATTATTAGTAAAAAGTCACAAAATACAGTAGATGAGACAAACCTTAAATAGCTTGCAACAATGGAAAAAAGATGGAGTAGTATAAAATAATTCAATCCATTAAATACAGAAATTATTTTAACCATCTTTCAGTATATGGATTCTGCAAAATACAGATTTATTTAAAATATTAAACTGAACTAAAATATGACTTGGTCATAATGTTTAAGTCAGTCCACCTTTATGATTACATCCCAAATTCAATACTGCTTCAACAACAACAAAACAAAATACTTGTACCCATCTCCTCCATTACAAGTTGACATCTATTTTGAAGGTACAATTTTGAATATTTTTTTTCCTGTGAGATTGTTGGTTGAGAGTTGACTTGAAAACCCCAACTAAAACCACTAAAATCTACAATTAGATTTTTTAAAAAAAATCTACATGTGTTTGTAACATTAGACGTGTCCAAGAAATATTACGAAGGCAAAGTCCCTGTTTATTCCTTTTTAGTAGAAAAAAAATCAAAATCCTTGTATTTGTACTGTTGCACAAATGCAGAAACTGCTGATTTGAGACTAACAAAGCACATACAGAGGATGGCTCTTTGAATTCTTTCCAACACTTTAAAACAGTTGTGTTTTAGATCACATGATTGAAAATGTCATGTCAACCTTCTGCCCAACTGCCTCTTTCAGGAAAGCATTGGGAGATTTTTTTTTCTAGATTCTTTTCTCTGCAGCCCCTGCCTGATACTGTTCAATCTTTCTTTTGCAATTCCTCCTATAATATCAAATTTAGTCCTATTCGGTTATCCTGCTCTCAAGTCCATCTACATATTTTTTTCCCAAGATTCTACTGTGTTGGAAAGAATACAGGTAAACGTTGACATATAACCTGAGCGACTGTTCCAAGTTACAATGGGGAGTTACTTATGACCCAGATTCAAAGTTATGATGGTCGCCCCCCTATGGTCACATGACAGTACTTCAGATACTCGGCAACCAAGATACATTTATGGCTGTTTGCAGCATCCCACAATCAGGCAGCAGTCTTTTATGATGGTTTTGACAAAAATTAGCATTTACTTCCAAATTTCAGCAAAACAGTGGTTTTACAACTGTCACAACTTCGAACCATTACAGTTGTAAGTGAAAGACTAACCGTGAAAACAAAAGAGAAGTGGGAAAGAGCTGATGTTGTTACTCTTTCATTAGTGATGTAAGACTGGAATTCTCTTCTGCCATATTTTTCTGTAGACATATTTCTCATTTCTAGAAGATTAGCATTTTATAAAGCTCACTTAACTAATGGAAATAGTATCAAAAATAATTTTGGGATTGTAATTTCTCAGAATATATTAAGAAATACATAACTAATGCACAGCTCTTGAATTGTGTTAATGTGAGAATACTAAAACAAGTCAATTATTCTATTTTATGCAATGATAAATGTATTTGAGTGAAAAGTAATATAATAATTAAATTGTGAATATGAACCATAGTAAGTGAGCTTTCTGAGATATCTAAACTGTGATTTAATAGTTTAAACAGCATAGAGGTGATTCAACAGGTAAAACTAATGCGACATTCTTTTCAGTTTTGTTTGATTAAAAAAAGTCAACATGCTAAAATAATCCTGAGACAAAAATATTTTTTTTAAATGGCTATTTCTGAACACTGATCTAGCAACAAGGCTACTTGATTTTTGAAGTATATTCCAAAATAGTATTTCAGCGGGTGCAAGACATAAATTTAGTATTTTTGCTGA